CTTGCTAAGGCTTGCGGTATTATGTCCCAAAGTGTCTGAATTAACTCATCATTACCTTCTCGGAACTGGTGTAATATAGCATCTTGCATAACTTGTATACCTCTCTTTACTACCTGAGGCTTGCCACACTGGATCAATTCCTAAGCAATAAACAATTAGTTAAACTTTTAATTAGTGTGGACATACATTCATATACGAAAATTAAAGTTAGCTGAATATAGGATGCATATACAGAAACATCGCGTACCTTTCCTTTGACTAGTTTACACATAAACTTACATTTTCTTAGTCTTACAACATCCTGCTATTTTTAGGTAAACATTAAACAATTTGACTGCATAACTTCTTTGACTTTAAGTTATAATGCCTAATAAAACTGTTCTGATTATCAACTACAAATGAAAGTAAAAATAACAATTTCACTCTGCTTCATCACAACATTATAAAAGCATACAGACAGCATTTCCATCCACTATATCAAGGCAAGTAGTTCATTTCATGTTCTGATTTTCCGATTCCCAAGGATAAGATCAGCAGTGCTCAAAAAACCTCAGTCAGGATGAAATCCAATCCCAAGGTTTCTCAAATAAAAAGCAGAATTGCTACCTACTTGGGTGCGAACTTCAGTGACAGATGTGGAGATATTGAGAAATGTTCCCAGCGCCTCTGCCACTACTAATAGCACAAGATTATATTTCCTGTCAGAGTCCTCAGTATAATGGGAATGGCATTCATTATCGACACACTTCTCCTACAACACTAAAGACGTGTTCTAAACAAAGGAATAACTTTCTGTGCCCACTTTCTTTGAAATTCTTTAGTCCATATGGTAAAATCAGCCGGAACCATAAATTAATATATAATTCAGTGATATGCCTCTACGCATAATATCACACATACATTAAATTTGTCAGATACAAATTCAAAATTTGTAACTATCATAATTTCTTAAATAATAATACACAGGGGATTCATAAGCAAGTCAAACTCAGTGGGTACATTAATCAAGAGACTACGAGTAAAAAGATTCCTGGTCACATAAACTCAATTCAAAAAGGTTAAGGAGTAAAGGCAATTTAAAAGGAATATAAAGACATACCAAAAATAAGGGATTTCATTATAAAAAATTCAAAATAACTTCAATATGAAATTAAGATAAAGTGTTATTTAATAACAAAACATGTTACAGAGACTGTTCAAAGTGTCAGATAGCATAAAGCCACTACGCACAGCGTCGCCCAACAGAATAACGCATTGCAATGCATAGTAATACAATGTGCTCAGATGTGCATTCAAGTTGCAGGCAGACACTCTGAGCTGATATTATTGTATTACTAAATTACAATTTATTTTACTTTTACATTGATAAAGTTTTCCACTAAAATCCCTTATTTTTAGTAGGTCTTTATCTTAACTTTCAAAATACTATGACTTCAATCTGTGATACAGGAACCCAATGTTATGGGAAGGGGGAAGCACATATACAAAATTTATAATACCTTTCACTTACCAGTAAGCAGTGACTGGCATCATAATTTATCATAACCAAATCCATCAAATCCTTCCCACAATCCGACTGGTCTTCTTCCAGCCATAGATTCATCTATAAAAAGAAAACATTGAAAACACTAACCATTACATTAGAATGCATTAAGCAATGAAAAATATTAATGTCAAATAACTTTTCAAATAAAAAAATACAAAATATGATAGCATTGAAAAGGTATTTAACATTTAACAGCAATATTTGTGCCTGGTTCTCATCCACTGAAAATATATAAAATAAGAAAACTTTTAACAAAGCAAACTGAAATTGCAGTTTGATTTCTTACGTGTTATATTTGCATAATAAATAAAATTCATTTAAAACAGAGAGATAATGTCTGTCCAGATGTTTTAGCTCTGAAATTACTTGCATTATTCCAATGACACTTGGTACTGGAGGTCAACTCTAAAATTTATCATGCAAATTTACAGCCAACTATAACCACCCTAGCTATATAAAATCCAAACTGAACATTATTATTTTTTAAAAACAGTTGCTCATTCAGAAACTCAGTACATGCCATAAAATATAGGTATTAAATCAAATTCTGTTATTTAAAACACGGATGAGTATTTAACAAAATACAAGCAAAATTAATTTCTGGCTCTATGCAATGTGAAGGACTATTAATATTAAATTTCCTTTCTGTTGCTAAAGAAAATAATTGAAGATGCCTGTCTTCTGGGTTGTTGCGCTGAGTAGTCTGATAGAAGTTTACCGACATTTCAGAGGTCCTTGCTGCCTCCACCATCAGGGTGATGAGTGAGACATCAGTAACCAGACTACACGGCTCAACAACCCCGAAGACAGCCATATTCAGACTCACTGCCATGAAAACCTCAAATCCTACAAGAAAATATTTCTTACAATATGATATTGGAAGAAAATAGTTCTTGTTATTAATTACTGAAGTAAGGTTTATTCAAAGATATTAAAAGCTTGTATGATAAGCATTTGTTATTCACTGAATATTTATATATTGTGTCATAAGAATTTTTGTTGAGATGGTAATTCATGTTCTTCTTCTTCTACTGTCATTTCTCTTTTATGCACGTCAACAGCAGTTCAAACTTACTCAAAAAAATGTTCATATGAGACATAAATGTGACACGAGCAGTTCAAACTTACTCAAAAAAATGTCCAGATGAGATATAAATGTGACACAATATGTACAAAATCAGTTTCGTCTTGCTATAATATCTGTATCAGCAATAAAGAAACATCAAGACTAATGAGCTGCATAGAATTCATTTTAAAATATATGTAATTCACTTGGAGTTAACTTTTCACTCTTGTTCTGTACTGTACACAGCAAACTGATAAAAAGCAAGAACAATGGAACACAAAGAAAAATTAGCAAAAATATTAATAAAAAGCTTGTGGCATACCACTCCTTTCTGTATTGAAGGATGAATCCATGGAGATGTGAACACCCAATACAGCACAGCAGGGTGATGAGTATAAACATTCCTTAACTGAATTTGCTGCCCCAATAACCGCAATAAGACCCTCGTTGCTTGCTGCATACAAACTGGACCCGAGTATGACAGTGATGACACCTGATGGCATATGTAAGTTGCAACAGAAACAATTTTATCACATCATCAAAGAGTATAACATACTGATTATTAATACCGGGTGTCCATAAATTAGCAGATAATCTGAAGGGCATGAAAATTCATGTCTGAACTTCTGTCTTAATTAACATTATTTATGGACAGTTCTTACATCAGAAAAAACAAACGACCCCCAGTTTGGAGATGCAGCAGTTTTGACATTATCATGAAACTTACTCATAGAAGGAAGAATTTTGTTCTTAATAAATCATACCACCAACAAAGCATTAGATCATATGTTTAAGATTTATTCTACAGTATCTTGAAGTGTTAATTACTGTGACTTCCTTTTTAAGTTGTACACCTCAAAGGAACACAGATTCTTGAGACCCCCAGAATCTGTCTGTACTGAAGGTTAAAACCACAGAGTAGAGTCAATTTGTGTTACATAATATGTTTTAAAAGTTTTCATATAATTTCTTGAAAACAGCTAACCAAATCAAAACAACATGTGTGCACTTATTTAAAAATATAGTACCAATTTCACTAAACATAAATAATAGCAATATCACTCAAAAGGAGAATATGTAATAATGTATGGTGAGTTCAGCAGATTCTAAAATTTCCTGCATTACAATTACTGAATTTAAGAATTTGAATAGAAGGTGTGATTTGATGCATAAATATAGTATCTCCGTGAAGTACTTACTGCAAAGACAAACCATATAGCTTTGGTGATAGGAATTGGAACTAGGGTAACTGAAGGCAAGTGGTTGAGGTATGACACTAAGGCAGGAAGGCAAGGTGCACCAACATCTGGCCTGAAAAAAATTAAATAAACAAGTGAAACTTCTTCCCATGCACATGAACATTGGGTTGTATGTCAATAAACTGTATTCCAGTCACCAATCCCGACAGTGTGCAATGTAAATATGCCAGATCATATGAGTTTCTGCAACCAAGCCAGTTTTACTCTGAAATGACTGTACCTTTATAGAGACCCTTCTGTTACCAGAACTGCAATAATAAGAACTCTTTATATGGAAGCATTTTAAGGAAAGCATCAAAATTTATTTTCAAAACTTCCTGTTAATGTAACTAACCAACCAGTGTCACAGACATAAGATAATATTTATTTTTCAAAGTAGTGAAATAAAGTATACCTTGAGGCACAGAGGCAGAAGAAATAATTGAACACAATGACTGCATGTTGGAGGGAATGAGGCGCATCTGGAGCATAAAGAGCCTGTTGCCAGTATGCACAGTGAAGAGGAACGAATCCCAAACCCATCTGCAGATGCTTCCGGAAGGCAGCAAAACCACCAGGCCACAGACTTTCTATACCCAGTATACCGGCTGACATAGAAGACAACAGCTCTCCCAAGACAGAAATGCATATACAGCTCAATGAGCTTCCATCTTTAGATCTGAGAGAAAGAAAAGGAAAAAAAAAGAAGAAAGAAAACAGATTATCTTATTATAACTAGCAGAGCAGAGCCATCTGAGCAAAATTAGGCCCATTATTCAGTTTCAGCAATAGATTTTCAAAAGGGAAATAATATTCAGATACTTGACACAAATATGTACCAGATAAATTAATCATCATTATTCGTAAATTTTCTTCTGCTATATCCCCAGTTGGAAATTTCTGCTGTGGCTAAGGGTATAGCTTTTGCTCTGTTGTAGGCAACAGATGGCTCTCAAAATGTGGTAGCAATAGTTTAGGCAACAAGTACAAGAACTTATCCCTTTGACCAGGCTTGCAGGTATAGTCTGGCAAATTTCCTTATAGGTTCGAACAAGTCAATATGGCTTCTTAATCATAACTCTGAACAATACTTTAACACTATAATCTCTTTTATATTATAAGTTGAATACATCCTAAAACTGACCCTCCACAAATCAGAACTAGCGGTAATGTATACAACGCACATTCTCCCATTTACATCCTGCAATTCAAATTCTGACATCTACCACCATGAATGTAGCAGAAAAATGTAGTACTAAGCTAAACACAAAGTCAATACATGAGGTTTCTAACCGTTTCCTTGAAATGAGTTTTATGAATGAGGCACATCATTAAACACAGTTTTAATACTGGCCTTACTTGTAAGCAGACCAAGTGGAAATCACAGGCAAGAATGTCAGATATCCCAGTTCACCGAGGCGATACGATAACTGTGGAGTAACCAATTCCTTCACAGGTTCACAGTATAATGCTTCCAAACAACATACAAACTTGCCAAACAACTCCATGTTCGATATTTCCATATCTATTTCCTGTAAATATTAAAAGTGTTAGAAGCAAAGGGATCAAATGAGCCAGTAATTTTCTATAAAAATTAATTAATACTAGAGAACAGCCCGTTGCAAACAACGGGACATAAAAATATCAGTATTTGTCTCACATCAGTTTAATCTGTTTTCAGAGTCTGTAATACACCTCTTACCTTAAATATCAGTGCAAATCAAAATAAAATAATATAGTCCTGGGTTCCTCAGTCTGCATCATGTCAATATGTTTTATGTGGACACAGTACATTTTTATATTGATCACTGTGTATGAGAAAATTGTGGCTAAGTTAAATACTTATATGTTTTAAGTGGATAGTTAACACAAACAACAAATCGACAAATCTATTACAGAAAGTAACTGTGTAATATGTGAATTTGTTTGCCTATCATTTTTAATGAACTGTCATAAAGTTTAAAAAAAAATTGCCCTTATAGTGATACCAATCTTGTATTATCATTCCATAAAATAGTAAGTAAATAACGTGAATGACAATATTTTGTATTATCATTCCATAAAATAGTAAGAAAATAACGTGAATGACAATATTTTGACTCAAACTGAAACAAATATGTGCCATATATGAACAAGATTACAGATCAAAATAATACTTTACCAATATGTAAGGAGCGCTGACATATTGGACACATTTCAACAGCACATCAGTCATCTTTCTTGAATACATAGCTACGACTGGGACATTTTGAAAATTAGCCATTTTGTCAGTTCCGTTCTCCAACACCTTGTCACGTGACAGAACTGAACACAATCTAGAAAACAATGTAATTATACGTAAGTTAACTCTTAATTACTTGTTAGACATAAGTCAGCATTCAATTTATCACATGTATTAACATAACAAAATCCAGAATGTCTCAGAATTATTAAGACAATTACAATTTGCTATATTTAATGAACCACAGCAGTAAGAAAAATTAAGTAACCTGAGACACGTACAGAAACACGAAGTTTGCCTTTCACAAATCACATTTAAATTTTCAAGCAATTTTAGCAATTCAACAAAAAAGGTGAACTCATTCTTCAGTTTCACAAATAAAAGTCAGTGGCTACAGTTCAGCACTGGTTACAAACATAATTCAGAGAGAATCTACCTTCAAAGGAGTCAAATCAGATGATGTATATAGTATAATAATTTTGTGGCAAAAGACTTCCTTGATAGTCATTTATCCAAAGGTTCCACCATGTTCACAAAAGCCCACCAAGAGACTTTATCCTGTGCCATTTCAATCTTCTTACTTTTGACTTGTCTTTCTAAGATACAAACTTAATATTGTCCTACCACTCACACTTAAAATATAAATAAATGTAGGTTATTAAGAAAATGGTATAAACAACATTACTAAACAGTTTTTTCTACAAGATTCTCCCCACAAAAAATTACACTTCTAATCCTGGGGAGGATGAGTCATTAAACACATTTTTTCTCTAAACACTATATGTGCCTCAACTTGTGTGGTCAACACATATGCAATCAAAGGTCTAAATATACATCTGTATAGAGCTGGAGTATTCTGGGAGTAAACCTAAATGCAGAAAGCATCATCTGGTTCCCTGAATGACCTGTTTCTTATCGGCCCAGAATTCTCCTTGTCCTTTACTCATCCCTTGACTCTGGTTGGCCAAAACCCTTGGCCTAGTCCTTCTCCTAACCTGTAACAATCAAATTCCTAACACTCTCACTTCAGCCTTGAAGATTGAGGCAGTATGTTCCTCCAAAAGACTGGTATCTGCCTTTTAGTCCACATGGTGTTACAACCCAAAACGCCGATATCGGCATATTTTCTCCTAAAATTTTTGAAACGAATTACAATGCATATATCCCTCACATTCAGAACGAATTATCTTTGTTTCCTTCCACCTGAAATTATTTGCTTGTTCTTCAACTTAAAAACATTCTTTTTCTTAGCACTGACTTACAACTGATTATTAATACAAACTGAGGTTGTATCATCTTTACCTTGTCACTGACAGAGTCACACAACTCATCACTAAAACTGCTTCCTTTTTAGTACTCTGCGCCTGTTCGTCCATTGCTTTGTGATTCTTCACAAATTCAGAGAGCAGTGTTATACAAGTCTCTAATACAGTAACCAACAATTGCAGTGACGTCACATCAAGCTGATTAGCAAGGCTCTTGCTCTCGACTAGGTTGCTGAGTATCCAACCTACACACATCACTGTTTCATTCCGCACACTGTGTTTGTCACTCAGAATGCGTTGTATCAACTCAAGAACTTGACTCACATTGAATGCACCCGCCTGTAATGCCTTAGAACCAGTAAATGTGACAAACCTGTAATAATAAAACCATCGATGTCTTCAGACTCAACACCGGTAGCACATTTTACAACATTAAGAAAACCAATTTCAGTAACAATACTAACTTCATATTCTGGAGTTCTGATAACTACCCATCTGCATAAGAAATTCTCTGTTGTTACAGAATCTAAAGATTTATAACTCTTACCACAAAAGTCTACCATAACCTAACTCTGAGCCAGACCAATCATATCTACATTGTACGATTTGAGTTTTTCGCGGTGGTGAGTCTGAAGATTGCTGTCTTCTTGGTTGTTGCACCACGTAGTCTTGTAGATGTTTACCAAAGTTTCAGAGGTCCTTGCTGCCTCCATCATCAGGGCGCTGAGCTGCAAGTACCTCTGAAATGTCGGTAAACATCTACCAGACTACACGGCAATCTACATATCTAAATTGAAATATGTGTTTAGAAAATACACCTCAAAAAACTTAAAACAGGAGTGCAACATACTAGTACTCGTATGTACAGCAACCTTTTCGTAAACATTCATGAGGCATATAAACAAGAATGCACACTCAACAAGTTAGCTCAGAACTGCAATTACCATCTATTAGGCACATGGGTAATGCCTTTATACATGTCAACTACCTCAAGTCCACCATTCAAAGATACTTTCATATCTTAATAAACACTAACCTAACTAAACATTGTGGTCAAGTAGATAACACTCTTGCTCTGTATTTGGGAAATCTTGGGTACAAATCTTGACTATACACTGATTATATAACTCCATGCTTAATATACTTACTGCATTATAATAACAAAATATACAGAGTATCCCATAAACCCAGCATCAACAGGAAACTGTTATTTGGCAAAATACAGAAAAATATAAAGAGGTAAAAATTGTTGCAAATCGGGTTTTCGATCACAATCGTTGATGATGTAAGGAGTGAAGCACCATAATGGCTCATCCAAGTAATAAATTCTGACACTCGATTTTGGAAACACATGATTTGTCTATGTGACTATATGGTGCAACAACCCAAAAGACTGCAATATAAACCCAAAGATTCAGCTGGTATTAACTTTGATTAGATGGTTATATTCTTACCCTTTCAGAAGTCCAGCAAGTAAAGACAATGCTCTATTCAGTGTGTGAAAGGAGTTACTTTGTTTTATGAGGAAATGAACAGTTCTTATCAGACACTCAATAACGTAAAGCACATGGCTGTTGTTATAAAACTTCTTGCTCTTTGCCAGATGCTCCAAGCAGGCAAATATTGCTCTGAAACATTAAAATCTTAGTAAAAAATTAGCATAATTCATGAACAATAAGACATCTAATTCCATGGGGCAGGGCTCTTCTTCAATAGCTATTATTCCTGCAGTCAGTCAAGAAATTCCCTGCCTCTTACTGAACCAGGTTAGTTAAAACTATGTTCAGAACCGGCTAACACATGACCAGTTCCTGAGCCGTTTGAACTCATTCCACACTTTAACACTTTATTTCTTTAAGATTCATTTTTGTATTATCCTCCTTGTCACTTAAAGTGGTAGTTCCCATTCGATACAATAATTAAAAGCAACCCCTTAACAATTCATGTTAAAAAGTATTCTTGTATAAGAAACATAGGAAATACTTGATCTACAAAAGTTTGATGAATTGGTGGTACATACTCCAACAAGTGGCAATGAAGAGTTGCCATGGCTTCACAAATAAATTCTATTATGTCTGCATCCAGAAGAATATCATGAAGAGTCTTTTGGCCTTCTTTATTGGCATCATTCTTAAGGGACTGTGTGATGAAACACACTGCTTCCATCTACACATTAAGAATAAATAATAAGTGAGCTTTCTAATCTGTTAACTCCTGCAACTGAAAAGCAAGATTCTGATCTAAAGGTTTGTGACAATGACTGATTCATTACATGAATTCTATGTTGGACACTGTCCAATGTCTGAAGTATACTTTAAATACACAAAGTTTTCATTGTTGGCTCTATTCCTGTCTTGAGGTGATTGATTACATGTTACTGTATTGTCCTAGTATTCACAACTCCAGTTTCAATCCAAAATTCTGTCACTAAGAATAATTTTAAGAAAGCAGTAATACATATGTCAGCATATCAACCAATGACCTTCAGATGGGAGCAGAGCAGAGTCCAAAATAGTATTTCTACAATAATTTTAATGATATGCCATTAATCAAAAGAAAGAATTAAGAAAACTACTATGCACAAGAAAAAATTGCAGTACTTCATTCTGCATGACAAATTGCCACTTCCTTATTGATGTTGCAATTACACTGTATTTTGTGTGAAAGTCTCAATTTTGAAACATACGTCTATTATCAGAAAAAAATCTATGAATTAGTGGCTTCAATAGTGGGTGAAGACGTGATCTTCCGTCCTTGCACTTCTGAAATATGCGGTTTAACAAACCTGCAGCTTTACATTTCTGGACATCAATTGCTGCTTCAACTTTTTCAGAACCACTTCGTCTGCCTTATGCCTCAAAGAAACCGTACGTATAGAACATTCCTCCATTGATATACGAAATATAGAATGAATGCTCTTTCACAGAATTACAGTCGTCAACAAACTCACGAACGCATAAACATACAAATAACTGACAATTATAAAACTACTCCCAGGGTCTTAAGAACTTATTTTATGAACTATAATCGGAAATAATTGTACTATATTTTCTCAAAGTACACTAATCATTATAACAATACAAAAAAACAGTGTTATCAGTAAAATTCATACACTTTAACCCATTTGAAATTACAAGTTCCAATGGTGCCAATATACAGAAACCAAAATACATTTCGCGATGTCAAAACAAGAGAACCAAAAGTCCACGGATTATACCATTCACAACGAAACACAGTTATACCACAGGTTATAATTGTTCACACATGCATTCTGTTCATTTATACTCATCACCCTCAGAATCGATTATTAATAAATCATGGAACTAACTCTGCGGTACTGAAAGCCGCGCAGATGGTCAAGTTACTTCCTGCCTTTCATGGACTTAAAAAGCTCATTACCATATTTCCAAAAGGACGCCACAGGAACAGAATTCCAAACCCCATGCCTATCCCATCATAGTCTCCTTAATTTAATTATCCCCAAATTATGCCAGTTGTACTCCTTGGATCAGAGAGCGGTTATATAAGACAAGGTGGAAGCAGTTTCTAAAACAAACAATAATGTGGAAAACCGCAAGATTTTAATTTATTTACCATGACAGTAACCAAGGCTGAAAACTGGCGCTACATCTACCGCCATACCCTATTTACTATAACGCCTTACCAGCGTAGACGATGCGTAGGGTGACCGCCTACCAAAAGGAATAACATCAACGTAAGCCAAGACTATTGTTGCAAAAGCGGCCCAAGCAATGAGTTAAGACACGTCGTGGTCCAGTGGTTAACACTCCTGCTTCGTATTCGGGAGGTCCCGCTAACCTGGCTGGGGTTTATCGTGGTTTTCATCATTCCCTTAAACATCCTCTCATATGACACTATATATAAACAACAGGCAGGCAGTGCCGTTCCCGAGCAGAGCCAGGCCTGACAAAAGGGAAAGGTGAAGGTAAAGGGGCAAAACGCACGGAAGACGTATTCACTTCACCTGAGGGTGCACAGTCAATCTCTACGACACAGTAACATGTGACCCAACAAGTAGAGGAGCTATCCGATTGGGGGGTCACAATGTGGTTCAAGAATACAGGTGATGAATAACGTTGAGAAAGTAAATTTCACACACACCATATTAAAGAGCAAACACTTAGCAGTATCTGAATACTTCATACTAACAAAACATAATATTAACTTTGACCTAACAGAATTCATGTCCAGTATCTGGTTTATGGTGCCAGTCCCTGCATGTCAAGAAAGCTGCTGAAATAATAAAAACACCTCCATAACCTCAATCTTTAAGATGGGTACAAAACTAAGGAAAGTCTGGCTTCACTCCCATTCCTCCAAGCATTTCATTTAGTGACCTTTCCTCTTCACCACCTACTGAACATCACCCATGCAGATGGACACTGCGAGGCTGGTTTTATTTTACTTTCCTCTTTCACTTCTTATGTTATCAAATTTTCATCTTACCTTCCTAACTATTTTTCATCTCCTTTGAACAACAGAGAAGCTCCCTACCAGATAGAACCCTCCTCCTCTGACCGCACATTCACATCTCACACTTCCCACTGCTTTCTGTCAGTATGATAACCTATAAATCACACGAAGATATCAAAACCTATTCATGTCAATAGATAAATTAAATTGTAGATTATCTGTTAATTCTGTAATATCTGCAGCATTATTCTCCATTATTGTGGATAATTGAGAGTTTACTGTATTTGTATAATAATGTCCAATGAAAACAAATTTTCTGTTAACTGAATAAAGTTATGGCATTTTCCTTAACAACAGACCTAAAGATCATACCAAACTGCATGAAGAGGGAATGGAGGAAAAGATCTATTGTAATCATCTAGTCAGGAGGTCGAGCTCACAAGGATGAAGTAATGTGTTTTCAATACATTCACGCCTGCACATGGCACATGTGGCGAAGGCTCAGCAGAACATAGACCTACATTTGTCACTGTCAGCTGTCCTTTCAAAAAAATCCACATTCAAGAAGTTCAAAACTTCTTTTAACTGGATACTTTGACAGGCCATTGCAGTATTTCACCCGTAAGAGGTCGGACCCCTATTAATTGGGTTTATGCAAAAGTAGGCATAAGTGACCTAGCGTCACCACACGATGTAAACTGTCACAGTTGGCCTCGGGTATTGAACAGACCAATCAGAGAAAGGTTATTTTGACTTAAATTTAAATTATTCCACCAATCACAAAACTAAGCGGGAAGTCGAACCAATGACATTACAAAATTCCAGATTTTGGAATGACTGGGAGAAATTAATATATTTGAGTGACAAACTTCTTTTAGTCCAGTCGTCTGTTGTCCGTCGTTAGTTTCAGTTGTACGTTGTTAGTTGTCAGTCAGTTGGCAGTTGTGAGTTGTCATTTAGGCAAGTTGAAACATTATCACGGACGCATCGGTGTATTACATTAACTTTGACCAACATCGTGCGGAGAATTTAATTTCAGCAATCACCTGAAAATAAATACACAGCTGAAGCGATCTTTAATTAAACCCCGTAAACCCAGTATAAGTCTCATAAATCCCTTCATCGAACCTGATCCCACTTGGGCAACACGCTGCAAAGAAGAAAGGGAACAGTTACACTATTCACTCTTGAATTCATCCTGAGGCGGAGATCACTGATAAAAACTTTATCATCTGGTTACCTGTTTCACTGTGCTATTATGTCTCTGTTATGTAAACTTATGTGCTGCATGAACATAAAATTAATTTCAACCATTGTTTTACATTTATTTGTATCATTCTCTTTGCACTGAATGACAATGTTATTAAACTATCCATTACTTCACAATATACACTGTACCAAAGAAACATACAAGTACACACAGAATTTTAAAAAATGTTAAAAAGAATTCCATAAACTCGGAACAACATGCAAAATATATCATTTCATTCCTATGATACACTAAAAAGGTGAAGTCACAAATAACATATCCTGTGGTGGTATCAACTTATATAATTTTAAACTTGTACTTAAATTAATATATTTAAATTCAATGTTAAGGACTGAGCATACTAATACATGTACAAAGGTAGGTGATGTATGAATCCATGGGCTTCATGCAAGAAAAGCTTACACATCATTTTAACCTAATCTACACCTGGCTGATCCTATATCTTGACCCCAACAAATCACTAAAAATTCAATTTTTTTTTCTATGGTTCTCTGGTCCGTTTTCGGTCCAGGTTGGGGGTTGGTCGCGAGGCTAACAACCTTGCACCATAAAAAGGAAGATGTTTCGAAACCTCAAAAATTCAAATGTTGCTAGCTTAATGTACAAATTAACTACACTATTCTTATATTCGACATACCTGAGCAAACGAATTTAAATTTGAAAACAAAAAAATCAAGTGAATTTGCTATACCATACATGCCATAACAGGACAAAAAAATTGTATTCGTACAACTAAAAAATTTGTCACTATTTAGTTCCTCGTGTTATGCGACTAAAAAATTTTATAACAGGAAATAACTTTCGCATTACACTTTCTCGACATTAAACTTTCAAGTTCAACAAGCATAAATGTTAAATAAATGTAAGCGTCAAATTTGTAACATGATAAAGTGTGGAAAACTTATATTCTTTGTTTGATTGGTGCAGTAACTGTACATTAACGGGGTGGTATTAAACAACGTAAAGCTTAACACATCACATCAGCTCACATTGACAAATGCCAACAGCAACAACAAAAAAATGAGTATATGCCATCAAAAGATGGTAAGTTTACAGCATGAGGATAGAACACATGATAAGTTACAAATTATTTTATATAACACATTTATAAAATATTCTATTGTTAACATAATTACATTACATACACATAGTGAGCAACAAATTCTTTGAAGACGAGATTTGGTGAATGTTAATTAGAACATAAAAATGTTTTTCCTAATTGTTTCTTCACAGGCAAAAAGAATCAAACTACAATCATCGCTATGCTTAAACTCCATCTACATCCAACGGCGCAATTTCTTTTTCATGCATTTCATACGAACATCACTATAAACAATACATAATGCCCCATCAAAAGTTTAAATTTACACGAGCACATTCCGAAGGAGTTAGTGACGATTGTTTTCTGCAACAGCTGTTAATGCAAACAGAAGAAATCATAGTAGCTTGAGCTTGTACCCTGGATTTAATCCCAAGACGTGTAATTAGTTTTGGTGTTTCTATTTATCTCTAAGCAATGTGAAGAGACATAATGCAGTACACAATTATTTATGATTATTATGTTTCATCATATTTATGATTGCAGTTTTTAAAATAACAATTCGCTTGAATTTTACTTCAGTATCATTTGACTGCTTATTACTGATGTTACTACTCAAGTTTCCATCTTCCAGCAGTAACGATTCCACCAAACTGCCACATGATGTTGATGGTGTATGGCTAACTTCCCTTCTTAACACTCGGTGTTCATCACCGTCAGCTGTTGGATAGTTTGCTGTATTTCCCTTAGCTGCAAGCAGAATGGCCTTGGCCATTTGACGTGCAGCATTTTGGTTTACTGATTGGTTGCCACCCCTCCCCTCTTCAGACATCGCTCGAACAAGCATCCTACTGTTTAAGGTTCGAACATCTTCTTTCGCTCGGCCACCATCCCGCTGAGGGGACAGGGCGAGGTGGAGCGGAGGGGAGCAACCAATAAAAAAGTCGACGATAATGATGGATTTCTATGACAGCTTTTCTTTGGAGACCGCTTCAGTTCTGTGAACCAAGAGATAATTTTAATTAGTTTTCAAATGTTGCTTTCCTGAAATAGGTTAAATAGTCAATTCTTTTAATTACTGGTACACCCAATGATATGCAGATGCATTCAGGAGTGTGCTGCCAGTTTGTTAACATGGAACTTGCACCGGCAGTCAATGTTTTCCTTTTTGTTCTGGAATTTGGAAGTAGGGACGGACAAGATGTATGTGTATCAATATTTTTATACTGGTGTATCACATGTATAATCTAATATTTTCTGTAATTATAACAAAGTGCTTGGAAAATTAGCCAAAAATAATAAGTGGCTCATGTGAGTTCCTCTAAGCCCCCTGCAGCACACCACTAGATGCATTATCCTAATATAAGACCTAATCCTATTCCTGAAGATGAGAACATTTCCTAGAGATATACTAACAGAGAGTCAAAAAGAACGGAGTTTTACTTTTTTCCTCCTTGATATTTTGATACACAATGACATTAAAAAGACCCTGCCTTAGTCAAAAACAAACCACATTCAAAGAAGTCATTATGTGACAGTGACAAACAGAGGGTTCATTTCAGGCAGTTTGAAGATGGCAATGTCTGGTCCATGTCGACATTCAATCCAACCTTCAGTTCTATATCGGTAATTATTTATCTACAGCTGAAAACTGTCATTTTGAACACTGCATTACATCTGGTTCAAAGTTGCATGGTGAAGTGCTTCACAGTTACAACTGTGACTTTAGTGAGGTGAAACGTTATTTACACTGTCAATGTTGTTCTCGTTTACTTACGTAATGCCATGTGGACTCACAGGCAGACACAAACCATTCAAGGAAACTTTGGTAATTTCTCTACAAGTCCACGTGGCATTACAACCCAAAACACCCACAGTGACAACTTTACTGCCGTGAGAACCTCAATTCTAATACAGTTATTTATATAAGTGGTAAGCCAGAAATCAAAGCAGTGCTGGTAAATATACATAGAAGTGAGTTTGTTTAGGTTTGGGTTGCACACAGGACTGACAACGAAATTATTACTGGAAAAAATATCGAGTCCAACATACATGCACTCTGGAGGGCAGTCAGGCACTTTCTTAACAGCATGTTAAGCGGGGAACCTCTTACCATCCTATTAACAGCATAATACAAAGTAATACAGGACTGAGTGCTTACCAATAAAGAAGTTGATGTACATATTTATGAGTAACACTATGTCTAATCAACTACAGAAACTACTCAATAATTACGGTATGTTCCAACGCAAATACTTGATTTTCTGTAAATCGCAATTCCTAACCTGCAGTGGCAAGAGCTGGCGGTTCCTTGCGCTGTTTGCTCTTGCTGGAATTGGAACCTTGGGCCTTCGTGACACCATATGGCTTGGACTGGTGGTCTGCTTCTCGGACTTGGGCATCTGACAACCAAAATTCAATTTTCTTTTACTAAAGTAACTGTATCCCACTCAAATAAAAATCTTACTTCCCTGTTTACCATTTAATAATTATGAAAGCCATCATTCCTACTTCAGTGGCATATTCATACTAAATGTTATTTAACACAATTAAGAAAGGACATCTTATAACCAACTACTTATTACACTCAATAAAATCTTTTCAGGCAATCAGCCGCGTCAACTGGTTACCGTAGTAAACCAGTTGAAGCGGCTGATTGCCCAAGAAGATTTTATTGATTGTACTCGCTGCACAAGTCTCAAATCCTATACTTATTACAACTAATCATACGAAAACTGAGTTAAGAACTAAATGAATCCCAGGGTTAGCAAGTGTCAGTATTCTTGCAAGAGGTTGGCTAGCAACAGGCAACATGCACATTCACTGTAACTTCAGAGGAAACAAGATGAAAAAAGGATGGAATGGAAATGAACATAACTAAAATAATTCAGATAAAAAATATTTCTTTAGACCTTAGTAAGTTCATGTTGAAACTGAAGTTAACTACACAATATAAACATGGGATTCTAAGAGAGAGATGTATTTAAAGGGAATTTTCTGCAAGAAACTACCCTTCTTTACTGGGGGATTCCAAACTGTGATTTGTAACACCCTGCAAACACAAAGATCCTCATCAAAATGTTTTCCTGGGTTCCAATATTTTTTAATGTAAATTTTCAAGAACAATTTATGGATTTGATATCTATTTATTTTTTTATATAAATATTATTTTCTTGTTTCTCCTTGTATGTATAATAATATATATTTAATTAAATTCCTTTCCTTTAATTCAGGATGAAAATAATTTTAAAAACATTGTGCAGTGTTCCAGATATATGGTGCAGTCATGTCACAGAGGAATAAATGAATATATAAGTGACAAATTCTTGCAAGAAATTACTGTTTTAGATTGGGAATCATATATCAGGTTTTTTAAGGAAGAATCATGGAGTAATAGAATTTAGGAATGATTGTTTTATACAATGAATTAACATAACATTGCTTTAAAATATAAACTAATGCAATGAAACAGTAATAGGTATCCTACATGATGTTCTATGCATTCCACAGTTAGAATCAAGCAACATGCAATTAAAATTTTCTTGATGTAAAACTGGGTTTAACATTCGTTTCTTTCACCTGAACTCTTCAGCACTCACTCAACCTTTTAGAGAAAGTATAAAGAGTCTAATCATCTATCAAACATGCTGTCCAACACCAGTTATAACTATAGCATATGATTTTACGTATTTATTACTTATAAATCTGGTGTAATTATGCAAGCACAGTTTCGGATATGAACCGACAGAAATGTGGTTGTCTGACAATATCAATTTGATTTTATTACATCCAACACAAATCTGCACAAACAGAACTAAGTTTCTATTTATGACTTTGAAATGGCCATTAAATTTAACTTTGTAAAAAGCATTTAAATATGGTGAAGTCCGTTGACTGAAATTTTAACAAACAAAACAAGTAAGAAACATCAAAGGATACTGAGTATTTGCCACACAGTTTCACTGATCTAAGTAACACATCTCATTAAAGCAAGAATTTTATTTGAAGTACAAGCTCAGTTTCAGATAACTGTTACAGAATTTTTATTTTAAATTCTTCAAGCTCATTTATAGGGAATTTTTATATTCAATTCCTCAACAGTAATAGTGGTGGAAATAAATCTGACATTTTCTACACTTCAAATGAAATATTTCTGAATTGGCTTTTAATAAATATGTTTTAAAAAATTCTTAATGACATCTGTTCCTGCTACAAGTTATTCATAGTTTTTACTGTCTTTATTATTTTAAACTTATATGTAAAATACAAAAGTGAAGAGTGAGGTAATGTGGACGTGATAGATCAATCCATAAACCAGACCAACTATTGACTATAGGAATATTTTTCCTTTATAAGATATATACACTATATGCTACCAGCAGTAATTCAAATGGCAATAAGACGGCATTCCCTGGGAGGCCATGTCATTGTGGCGTCAATTTCTAAAGGCACTGTGTGAAGCATATTCCTCAGAAGCAGGAACACTCTCTCCATATTCCAGAAGAAAAGTTTCCACATTTTAATGAATTTATAAAAAATATATTAACTTAGTCTCTGATACAATTAGAAAATGAGTTATTAACTCAAACCCCTTAAGGTGCCTCCCAAAGACTTGTGGTGCCAACCCTACAAATGACATGACTTCATTTCACCTGTATTGCGATATGGCCAAGCTGCTGCCAGCTGCCGCAGTCGCTCCCACAGAGGTCCCATCCGGTTGCTGTGGCAATGTTCGGTACATATGTATGCATCACTCAGCTGTGCACAAAGTGCGCTCAGCTGCTCCCCATGCTGTTAGTAACACAAGCACACAAGCAAACCCTTCATCACAATCACAGCACATGATGGATGAATAGATGGGACGTCAAGCAAAGAGGACATGGTCTACGAGTCAAACGATCTGCACAGGTCATGTGTTATGCAGTTCGCAGGTTTTTATTAGATGGGATATCATAACCTAGATATTATTTCACTCTGCATGGGTTACTGTAACCTCATAGTGTTTTTCACTGCAAGGATACCATATTCTTAATTCCTTTCCTGACCTTTTTTTTCTGAAGATAATCCCCCCCCCCCTCCATACATTTAGAATATACCCACAAAAATGAAATGGAATGAAATGTGTCTCGATGAAAAGTATTCAATTGTGATAACATAAAGCTGTTTATATGATTTTAATGACATTAACCTGAGTTACCTTGGGCCATTTTCAATGTTTGTAAAACTGAACTTCTTCAAAATCACAGCCTACATATGACACTGCAGCTAGCGTGGGAACTTATGACGTGTGATACAGAAGCATAAAAAGTACTCTTATTCATGTGCGATCTAGTGTAAAAATATGTAAACGCACATGACATAAATTTTCAGCAGTCCATCAGGGAGTGGTTAAGATGTAGAATGTTTCTGTGAATTTAAGTAACATGTTTTTTATATTTTCAAACAACAGGATCTAAATTTCAAACATATTAAAAAGTGCACATAACAGGGGTACAATTATAAAAATAAGTGCATGCAGTTAGGAAAATATTGTAACACTTCATAATTAAATTTCTGTACAATAAGTAGAAGCTATACCAGTGCCTGCACACCAAATCACGAAGGTGTATAGGTGGCTTAAAAAATGAGTGTAAAGGAATCATCTGCATGTTTTGGTCACATTACCCACACTGAAAAAGATTAAAATTTAGATAAGAAGTTCTTGGAATAACTTACAATGTCCATATTCCCTCAAATGATCCAAAGTGTACTAGTTTATATTCTGACTATTAGATTACATATTGGTACTAATATAAGCTCTACTTGTGTGGAGATCATATAAAACTAAAATTTTTCTCTAAAATAGCTTACCGAACAAAAAATGTATATAAACGATAGATCTCACTAAGATCTATAGACTTTATTTTCAACATGTGTCAATACAGTGACTATTTAGACATACAAATAAAAGTAATTTGGTTCTGTATAGTGTGATAACTGTAATGGAATTAGATTTAAACTGGCTATAAATAAACATCACAGCAAATGGGGCATGTAGAATGAAGAATGTATGTGGAAATTGTGTGTACTTCTGTGTACATATCTCCACTTTATCATGGAATTTTAATACTCCAGTACCAAATAATGGCATTTTAATCCGTATTTATCCACTCTTTATCTCCTGGGTGACAGTAAGTAACCATGCAATGGAATAAATAAAACAAGAATCATAGTATTGTGCTCACAGTTTTGGCTGCATCAAGCTGGTGTTGAAGCTGATCTACTTCCTCACACTTCTGTTCCAGTTCATGTTCACGCTGGCGCAGCAGCTGTGCTGCATTACCTTCCAACCCTACTTCTAACTCACTCACTTCTGAAACCAAATGTGCACGCAACTGCTTGTTTCTGAAACACAGCACACATTAAGGATTAAAGCTGACAGTCCTGTAAAGCATGAAAAATATGTTCAGCTGCATATTAATATTCTATCGTATAACTTCGATAAGTGTAGGAAAATAAATAACTCCATAAATTTATTTTCATTGTAAAGGTGATAGCTTTCAGTTGGTCAAGAAGTTCTCTGAGTGAACAGTTGATGGAATGGTAACACCGGGTCATGAGCAATAATAAATTCTTTAAGTTTCTGAACCTTATTGTCTCTTTCAAAAGAACTGAAATTAATTGCTGCAGCTAAAAAAAATCTTAATTCTTAATCAGCTTACCATAAAGGGTAATAAATGTTAGTCCATTTTTCACAGCAAGACAAGTTAATCAAACGTATCGTAACATGGGCCACAGAGACCTTTCCGAACATGATGAGATGTTACACAGTTGTCAGCTTGAGTGAACCTCAGTAAGTTACACTTACCTGGCATCCAGCTGTTGAATGTGTTGCTGGGCTTGTGTTAGCTGTTTTGTGATCACTCCCAGTTGTTCTTCTAAAGCTGCAGACTCAACACATTTCACTGAATACCTTTCTGACAGAGACAGAATCTCCTGCTTTATTTCTTCCATTTCGGCTCTGCAATCATTTACAAATACTGTGTTCAAAATGGTGTATTTTTGAAGATGGCTGTCTACCAGTTTGTCGTGCCATGTAATCTGTCATAAGTTTATTGTATCAGCAGTGCTTGTTGCTTCCATCATTAGAGTACCCTGAAGCAAGCACATCTTAAATGTCAGTAAACTTCTACCAGACTACACAGTGCAACAACCCAGAAGACAACCATCTTCATACTTGGTGCCATGAGAACCTAAAACTTCACTTGGCACAGTTCTGTTTACAAGTTACAGTTGTACAAATATATCATACATTACAGCACGATGTACGAGATCTGAAGTCTGTTACGAAAATGCTTAGAAGTCCGTTCCTAAAACCACACGCACTTTCATCACAAAGTGTTTCACTAGAGCCAATGCTATTTGATTGGGCAAACGTATCAGCCATCAAAAGTAAGCCAACAGGCTAACAAGATGTTACTTTAGTAACTGCAGTAACTAAGTTTCTTGAGTCATAACATGTTATTTTATTTACACAACAGAAGTGTGAAAGACAAAATCTTGAAGGGAGAAAGCACACACAATATACATTAACAAATATGATACAATATAAAACATAATAAAACAGAGTATAACACATAAATACAATAAAGTTCATCACATAACCTAATACAACACTGTAATTTTGTGAAAATCTCCCTAAGCATATGTGAGCCGAATAAAACCTGACGATCCTACCCTACTGCTGCTTATATATACATAGTAATACACTCACTCATGTTCTTTGTGTAAAGCACCAATGTCATGTGTTGACTGCATCTTCTTGACAAATTCTGACTTGAACTTCGTAATCTCCTTCTGCACTTCGGTCTCATGAGCTTTTCTCATGGCATCCAGTGCTATGGAGAATTCAAAGATATCAGACGTGTTTAAAACATCAACAAACCTAAATATTTATCATTTTAAATGTGATACTGAAGTTACACTACATCCTGCTCCAACACCCATAACTTTTGGGCTTTTGAAACGCTATATACTCCAGAAAAATCAAAAAGTAATTTCCTTATGATAGTCCAATGTAAAATGTAAGTGCATCAGACAAATGTAAACCTATAAAAACATCCCGATATATTGTGTTATTCCATCATTAGAGTACCCTGAAGCAAGCACATCTTAAATGTCAGTAAACTTCTACCAGACTACACAGTGCAACAACCCAGAAGACAACCATCTTCATACTTGGTGCCATGAGAACCTAAAACTTCACTTGGCACAGTTCTGTTTACAAGTTACAGTTGTACAAATATATCATACATTACAGCACGATGTACGAGATCTGAAGTCTGTTACGAAAATGCTTAGAAGTCCGTTCCTAAAACCACACGCACTTTCATCACAAAGTGTTTCACTAGAGCCAATGCTATTTGATTGGGCAAACGTATCAGCCATCAAAAGTAAGCCAACAGGCTAACAAGATGTTACTTTAGTAACTGCAGTAACTAAGTTTCTTGAGTCATAACATGTTATTTTATTTACACAACAGAAGTGTGAAAGACAAAATCTTGAAGGGAGAAAGCACACACAATATACATTAACAAATATGATACAATATAAAACATAATAAAACAGAGTATAACACATAAATACAATAAAGTTCATCACATAACCTAATACAACACTGTAATTTTGTGAAAATCTCCCTAAGCATATGTGAGCCGAATAAAACCTGACGATCCTACCCTACTGCTGCTTATATATACATAGTAATACACTCACTCATGTTCTTTGTGTAAAGCACCAATGTCATGTGTTGACTGCATCTTCTTGACAAATTCTGACTTGAACTTCGTAATCTCCTTCTGCACTTCGGTCTCATGAGCTTTTCTCATGGCATCCAGTGCTATGGAGAATTCAAAGATATCAGACGTGTTTAAAACATCAACAAACCTAAATATTTATCATTTTAAATGTGATACTGAAGTTACACTACATCCTGCTCCAACACCCATAACTTTTGGGCTTTTGAAACGCTATATACTCCAGAAAAATCAAAAAGTAATTTCCTTATGATAGTCCAATGTAAAATGTAAGTGCATCAGACAAATGTAAACCTATAAAAACATCCCGATATATTGTGTTACGCTATGCTGGCGGTAGCATAGCTACTGGTAGGGCCTCCCTAGCCAGATTGGTCGAGGGGGAGAGGTCAGACTAAGACAGGTATCCTGGTCCTCCAGGTTGGGGTTGGTCGCAAGGCTAACAACCTTGCACCATAAAAAGGAAGATGTTTCGAAACCTCAATCAAAGCCTCTGACAGACGGACCTAACAGAGCAGCGGAGGATAGGACTGAATGGAAGAGGAGAATTGAGGAGGCCATGGACCGAATACGGACCAGTGAGCCATAGAAGAAGAAGATATTGTGTAACTGTATTTAGTTAATCTATCAAGAGTTCTCAGCCAAATTCATTTAAAATGTTGTTCAATATATCTCACTAAACCATTTGCACTCTAAAGCCTACAATCATGTGATGTATTCTAACCACCAAATTTTTATCTTCCTCTCTAATCCTTGCCACCCAAAAATTTAAACAACAGTTCAATTATTATGTCAGGATACATGTTCATAACCACAAACACTTTTATCCACAGTGCGAGAAACATATCACGTAATATTTTGTACAAAGTTAAAGGTTCCTCAAGAATTAGCTTTCAAAGCACAGCATTTATGCCTCATGAATGGGAAAGCCTTATCCCAAATCTTAATTTGTATGAATATATATTAATCTTCTTAACTATAATTAGAAACCTTAAGAGTATGAACCTCCACATTCCTTATCCAGCCACCTATTTGGATTACGATTGAAAAGATTTTTAACACTTATCCCAGTGTCTAAATCACGGTAGGAAGCAAATACCACGACCAACAAGTATGTCTGATTTGTGTTATGTCTTACCAATCATAAACAACAGACAAGTAAGTGGAAATCCAGCCACCAATCATGACGACATGTTATATTTGTGTGTTCTGGCCATATTCTCTCTTCTTTTGACAAAATGATACTGCATGAACGAGTGCTTACCTGAGCAGTTAACAAGCCAAAAATTGTTTAAAAGTTTCTAATATAAATGCCTGTTTGCCAAGCAGAATGAGATGCTGCACATTTTATTTCCATTTCAGCTTTCATTTTTCTGTACCTGCAAGTGTAGCTTGCGTTTCCTCTGCCAGAGCTTGCTCTTTCTCGTGCCGCAACTGCTCTATTTCTTGGCGATGTTTTTCCTCCAGCTCGGCTATGATGCGGCGATGTGAATTCTCCATGGCAACCAGACCTTTCTCACAAAGAGCCTGCAGCACCAACAAAGTTCATGACAAATTTTCCTCATAACCAGTACAGACTGCTCTTAAAGTCAATTCATAACACACATAAGTTTGGTTTTATGACATCATAATAATTAACTAGTAAATTTCACAAGAGGTGTTTATAAAGATTAATCCAGCAAATTTCATGCGTCTTGCCATACAGTTTTATCGAAAAGTGAATACAGTAGGGCACCGCATACACAGCAGGTTAGGGACCAGACCCCCGCCGAAAAGTGAAAATCGCCAAAAAGCGGATCTTTGCCTTTTTTCAATTGCAAATGCATATCAAAGCCTAATAATATGTTTACACTATCATATAGTAAGTGCACAATAGCGCTAGGCCTAAAAAAAATGATATGAAAGTAAAATGAATATCAGTAGTAGCTGTAAACAGACTGAATCAGCGACGATAAAATGGCGCCGGATGCACTTCTCTGACTCAGCTGTTGAGCACGTGGGGCATATGCACGCAATTGAAAAGTGCCGTATTAGTGGATCGCCGAAACGCGGGGCCCTACTGTATTCAACACTGTTAATAACAAAAACCACAAACTGGGCATGATCTTGAGCCACATCACAACCTAGTTCTGTAAGATCCATTATTATCCTTTTAACTCCTTTGTCTTTTGAGTGCAATTTTCTGAGAGGTTTCCACAACAAAATTCCATATTCATTTCTTATTTTTCCCACTTAAGTTACATCTCTAGAGAACTGTAAGTTTCCTAAATTACTTTTACAAAAAAAGTTTAAAGGGTCAGATATATGAGAGTTTGGAGTTTGGCAGGAAGACATATGAGCTGTATGAATTACTTCTGAAATTATTATGAAAGTTCTGACATCACTGGAGACAGCGCAAATCTGACCAGCTTGTGAATCACATTCTAACACTACTGTATCTCCTGTAGTTTCCCTCCTTTGACTTAATCACACATAATATACACAGAAAGCACAATGATAAAAATCCTTACTCGAAGTTGCTCAATCTCAGCTTGATACCGCTGCCAAATATTTTCTTCACCTTCAATGTCTCGTTCTAACCCAGCTGAAAGTGTCTTGTGGTACGCAGCTCTAAGATTTTCAACCTGTTGCGCATACTCTGAATCAAGAGTACCCAGTCGACGCTCCAACCGACGTGCTCTTTCCTTTAACTGTGCTTGTTCTTGTTCATGTTGGCATACCTTTTTGAGATGTTATGTAAAGAACTCATTAAAAAGATACAGCATAAGCAATAAGTAAACATATACAATGTGTATATTTTATAAGCAATTACAGTATAAATTTTATACTTCTACCTAAATGTCCATAAAACCTGAATGAAGGAAACATATTGAACATGATTCATATGGTACCTGTAGTTGTACAATACAATGCAACCTAAACTTACTGTAATTTTTAATATTACTGCTACTTTCAATCCATTTTTAAATGCAACTAGCTGAACTCACCAGTGAACGCCTCTGTTGTTCTAGCTCACCATGTAATCGAGCCATCTCTCGCTCCTGACATCGTTGCAATGTCTGCAACTCTTGTTCATGCTCCGATGCCAACCTGTAGCAAAACAAATCACCATTAGAAGATACAAATACTATAGGATTTGAGACTTTTGTGGCGAGTACAATCAATAAAATCTTCTCGGGAAATCAGACGCGTTAGCTGGTACCATAGTAAACCGACGTTTCAGGAACAAACTCTGTCCCCATCTTCAGGGTTCTGATGTGACTGGATCCTGAAGATGGGGACAGAGTTTGTTACTGAAATGTCGGTTTACTACGGTAACCAGCTAACGCGGCTGATTGCCCGAGAAGATTTTATTTATTGATACAAATACTGTTTACACAACAATGGAAACAAGAACAGCTGGCAGTGTGTGCATATCTATCTATCTATATATCTATATACATATATTGTAATTACATCCCCAAAACAGCAACAATACTTTTCATTACGTTACGGCACAGGACACCTGCAAATATCCTCCAAATTATATTTCAATACTTTCCAAATTTCAGTTGAATGAGTTCTTGGAAAATATTTTTGAAGAGAAAAAATGCACCAAACCATATGGTTTGTCAGAGTATAAAATGCACACAATTAACTGTAATCTCCTTAAACAGTCAGTTCACGTATGAACCGGGCTATAATTTCCAAATAATTAAGCCTATATCTGGTAAATAAGTGACAATAGCAATAAATATCTAATGGAAAAAGCCAGTACTGGTTATTCTATTATAGCAAAATATGAGGTTAGTCAATTATAATCCAGTTAATCAAATGTGGCCCATTTTCACATAAAATGTTTAACAAATATGAAGGAAAGCAGCTACAGCATTCACAGTAATGTTCAGCTACACATCAAAACTCTCCAAATGGAATAAAAATTTATAAAAAGGGAACCAAAAACCAATGACAATGCAAAACTCTTGCCATGGTTTATGGATCTACCTTTATCTCTAGCCATTATAATAATCACATAAACTGAATGTAGTGGTCGAGTGGTTAGCACTCTTGCTCTGTATTCGGGAAGTCCTGATTTCATATTTTGGCCCAGAGATTGGCTATCCTGACTGGTCTTTTGTGGATTTGCTCAGTCCTTCCACGCAAATGCCACATTCTTTCGAATTCATTATCAACTATCATCCTCTCATGTGACACTAAATAGTCTTAAGTTGCTGAGCATCCTCTCATGTGACACTAAATAGTCTAAGTTACTGAAAAGTGTGATTAAATAAACTATAAATAAATAGTCACAATACAGAAAAGTATTGTATTTATAAGCAAAATGGTTAAAATGTACGATGAGAAACAGTATTTGGTGAAATTTTAAATCACACTTAGAACACATCATAAATACACTAAAAATCATTCATGTATTAATTTTAACACTCATTAGGCAGGCCATTTTATGACAACTTAACCACACATCCTAATAAGTACAGCTATCCATCAATTTCACAAATTTGCATCACTTAGTATGATGTAGGGAAGTTCAAGATCATATTGCTATATGTTAATTTTAAGATTTAATTCAATATACAACAGTAATAAAGTGTGCACATATGTAGAGATATTATGACATTTTTATGGAAAATACATCCTAATGTCTGTTCAATAGATGTGACATTTGTTCTTTTCTGTGTACAAATAAGTGGAGACTATGCAACAAATAGTTATACTGTCTGTGGACATGTATGAAATTTCTTAATTGCATGAAGTATTGGGAGCAGGAAGCAGATTAATGGGGAAAACTTTAAAATCATGTCACATTGAATCTTTTAACAATTTCTGTAATACAAATAAATATATGGGATTTCTTTACCAAAACTATAAATCTCCAGCATATTTTCATACATCCTACAGGGAAGAGCCTTCCCTTATTAAATAAAACCTAGGCTGGATATGTCAGTTGAATTAAGCTGAGAACCTACATAAAAATAGTTTCATAGGCATACTCTTAGTTTAATTATAAATACCGAGTATTAACAAAATACATTTCACCAAAATTGCCATTCAAAACTAAAGTTGCATTCTATATGACTTGATGAATATCGCTCACCTTTGTACTGTTTCCTGCAGCTGTTGACACCTGTGGCAGTCTCGTCCCTGCAGCACATACCCCACAAGACTAGTAACCTGTGATCGCAGAGTGGCACACTTTGAGCACACATCATCCCAGGAATCAACCCTCGTGTCACAATCATCTGCCTCTTCTTCATGAATATTACACTTATCTAATGCTATCTGGAGCTCCTTTTGCAGGTACACAAGAGAATCTATCACACCTCTGATTCGATCTTGATCAGTCACAACAGTCTCACTGTATGTCTTGTTACCGAACACGTGCAACACACTTGAATTACACTTTTGAGAAAACTGCTGAAAAAGATACTGGAATTCCATTACCATTGCAGGATCAACTCTGAACGAATCCTGACCAGGATCTGCCAATAACCTGCAAATATCATCACTGTCTTCAATCTGTAGATCAGCAATCACTTCGTTTGAAGTGCCATTTGTGATGGAATTATGTGGTGATTCCACTGGGGGTGTTTCATTGCATATAACAGCAATACGGGCATCTATTAATGCTTTGTGAGCAATCATGTCTGCAAATTCTGAAAGCAATCTTCTTGATTCTAACATACTTTCTTCCCCATGACTTAATGATCTTAATGACTTCTCTTTCAACTTTGCAAGACACTCCTCATACTTTCTTGTCAGTTCATCAATACCTGATTCCATTTCTTGCCTCAGAATTCCTTCAACTGTGTCTGACCACTGTTCTAAAACTGCGCGTTGTGATGCCAAGAAACTGAACATTGCTTCCTGTTCCACAGCAAGACTAGTTTCATACGCTTGACCACAGCGCATGGTAACATGTGAAATCTCAGCTTGAATTAGTTCACGATTCACAGTTTCCTGTGCCATAGTCCATGCCTCGCGGATCCTTCGGTCTTCCAATGTTAAAGATGGAGATCGTCCAGATTTCTGTTGCTCCAACTTTTTATCCACTGAAATATTTTTCGTATGTTCGTGTTCGTTCGCAAGACTCAGGGTCTCGATAGCCAGTGTCTGTGCCAACTGTTCTAACTTCACCATCCTATATTCTCTCATATACTCTTCTAACTCCTGCTGTTGCTTAAGCAACATTTCTGTAGCATCTGTACTACTGGGTTTTAGGTTCCAACCTACTTCACTTCTTGAAAATCCACAGCTGGAAGCCAGTCGTCCCTGCGCCATTAATCTCGCTGACAGGACTCTAGTAAGGTGCACAAGTGATGTTTCATAGCAGTCTGACTTAACGTCTCCAGTTCCTTTCAGTTTTGACTTTAGCTCAAGAATTAACCGGTTGCACTCTACAATCTCTGAATATAAGACTCGCTTTCTGAAGCTACTGCTGTTATCCTCAGAACAAGTAACAGCTTGTGCTATCCTACCAACTAGTACAGATTCATAAGCAAGTTTCTCAGCAAGAAGTTGCATACGGGCTTTCCTGTCAAATCTCCCCAGTTTGACTAACTCTGCTTTTCTTACTGCTATGTCCTTCAGCTTCGTCTGCAAAAGGTTTTCAAGTTTTCCTACTACGCACTGAACTGCTGCATATCGAACAGTTTCCACTGAATTGCTTGAACCACTAATGACTTTAAATTCAGTCTCATTACCACTGTCACTGCATTTTTCTAAGACATGTTTCACTTCACCCAAACAGTCCTCAAGACACTGGAAGCCATCAGAATAAGATGGATGACTTTTTGAAACTGATGATTTAAATGATGCTACTAGATTAAGACATTCTTGTACTTTGGCTCTTGCAGTTACCACAGCATTTTCCAGAATGAAAATCCTTTCAACTTCTATGCCTATGGAGTCTGGTGCGGGTTCCACACTCACCTCCACATGGTGTAAGCGCTTCTGAGAGGACAGGTGTACATCCTTACTGTGTGACACCAACTGCCCTGAATCATCTCCAACCTTCTTTGTTATCCTATCAGCTGCCTTTGCAACTTTGGATTCCAAAGAAGAGAGACGGATCAAGACCTTCATTGGCTCAGAGCTGGTAGCACTGTCCAGAGATTTTCGTCGCACACGGGAAGAGCCCCTTGAAACTCCATCGCCATTACTTGTAACCCTTTTGCTTTGTGGAGATTCACTTCTTGTGTGCTTGACGGGTCTTGGTGATGCAGGTATCATTACTGGCTGCCCTGTTTCTAGGGATGTGATTTTGGCTTCCAACTCAGTCAATTTCTCTTCTAGCTCCTTGCAAATTTGGAATGATTCACGTCCCTTCAGTGATAAGGACCGCCGCTTTTCACGAGAATCAGATTTTGAGAGCTTTTGTTTTAGTGCTCGAACCTATTGAAAAGAAACAATCTTTTAAGTGTTCAAATACAGTAGCATTCATTAACACAACTTCAAAACACACAACATTATGATCAACTTATTATAATAACTAAGAACCTGTTTCTCAGCAGCAGTGAGCTTCAATGTAAGATCCTCCACTCTTGCAGCCATTAAAGCAGCCTGGGCATCACAGGCTTCTTCTCGCCTCTTCCCATCTTGCCGTAGTGTGATCAGAGTCAGTTCCAGATCATCATATAGAGCATGGGATTCACGCAATTCACGCTTCATGGCACGTATCTCTGCCACAGCCTTCTCAAACCGACCACGCAGGTCCTCATATTCTTCCACTAACCTGTATACCAATGTTGGAATAGTAACTTATTACATACATTCATATAAACATCACATCATTCTACTGGGAAGACACCATCAAAAATAAAAACTGCATTTCACAAAAGTAATAAGAAGGTAATAATTTTAGTCTATACAGTGTTGTTAACAAAACATTAGAAACTAAAAGGAAAATTAAGTTTCTCATTTTATCATTCCAGTATGAATATGAAATTAAATTAAGTACTAGAAGACTAACAGTACATTTCATACAACCACGAACAACAGGTATCTATTCTATGCATTTGTATATGTCACATGAAGATATGATGCAGTTTGTTAAAAGGTCAAGTAATTAAGTGTAGTAAAGGGCACAGAGAATAACCGCAAGCCAGATTAATATTTTCACTGAAAACACATCACCACTACACTTTGTAATGAAGCTGTTTAGGCTACTTCAACTCAGAACATTCACATTTTCTCTCTGAAGTGCCAGGATCATGTAAAAGACAATATTTCACTCGCCTCTCTTTGTCAATCTGTGCAAGATCCAGATCAAGGTCTATATTTGTTAAATCACTAAGTGAATCAACACTTCGGCCTTTCTCCCTTGATGCTGACAGACCATTGCTGCCACCAGCAGAACTGCCACTAGCGCTGCCTGCACGTCCCTCCAACTCACGAACGCGTCTATACAATGCCTCGTTTTCCTCGATGCCTCGAGCCAACTGGTCACCAAGAGAGGCTGCTTCTGCTGCTTCTCGAGTCAGCGCATCAGACCGACAACATGCTGCAGCTAATGCTGACTCTGCATCAGTCAGCTTTTGCTGCCATTCTTCATTGTCTTCATGGTATCTGTAAGGAAATAACTGGTTTAATAGTCTTTCTTTTAAGAGCGTTAAGAATCATTAAGATTTATTTTACCTTTTTTTATGATTTTTCATACTTTTTAAACTTTCCATTTATCTTTTAAGAGCGTTAAGAATCATTAAGTTTTCTTTTACCTTTTTTATGATTTTCATACTTTTTAAACTTTCCATTTCGACAGAACAAACTACATTCATGCTCACCTAGCTTCCAGTTGCTGATACAACTCTCGCCAGTCCTCGCCATTTGCTTGTTGTCGCCACTGAGTCAGCACCTCCTCATGCTCTCTCAGCAGCTCACCATAGCTGCATACATAAAAATAAATGAATAAGGAAACTAAAAATATTCATATTAATAATGTGCATGTTTTAATAATGTCCAAGTTTTTGTTTCAAAATAACAGGGATGTTTTATTCAAATTATTGCAGGCTCACAGTAGTTTTGAAGGCAAACACACATTCGTAAAAGAGAACACATTGAAGATAAAACAGTCCTGAAAATATAGGATTTGAGGTTTTCATAGCAGTGAGTCAGAAGATGGCTGTCTTCTCCTCGCCCTGATGATAGAGGCAGCAAGAACTTTTGAAATATTGGCAAACCCAAAAGACAGCCATCTTCAAACTGAAATTTGGTTTTAAACTGGAAACAAATGCAAAAGTTAAATTAATATTATAAGCAATAATAATGCTTTTCTGCACTAATGTGAAATTTTAAATGCTGAAATGAAGTCTAGCAATTTATCTTATTTTTCAGATTTCAGAAAATACAATTTCAATTTTAAGACTTCAATATGTCAAAGGTGGTGAAAGATTGTGGAATAGAAATTATGTCCCCATGTGATCCCTGCGTATTAACCTTTATCATACAGGAATAGGGGATTTGATGTCCTGTACTATGGAGTTGCCAACTGGACTGTAACTCCATGGTTAAAATGGTTAAGTGGTAAGCTACCACACTGCAAGTAATTTGAAAAATGGTTCCTTGGACTTGTCCTTTGTCCGAATTATATAAAATCACAATGTTTCAAAATCTGGATCTTATTCCATCTTTAGGCAAAAAGGAAAAGAGGACAGAAACCCTAGCTGCTAGGCCCCCTGGTTGAGCAAGCTTCTGAGATTATAATGTATAATCATCAGAAACCTTCAGACTTCACCACATTGCTTACCTTTTCCTCAAAGCTTCTGCTTCGGCTGCTTCTTTGGTTTTCTGTCTAAGTTCCTGTTGAGTATGTTCCAACGTCTTAAGCAAATCCTGCAACTACATCAGAAGACTGACTAGCATCATAAATTATCAAAAGCATTCTATAATTTACTGTGCATTCGTTTCACATGGCTCATGACATGAAGGCATAATCAGGAGACGGAGTCTGTTTCATCTTCATGACAACGTGAAAAACTTAGATGAAGTTTTGGTACAGGTTTATACTAAAAGCTGTCAAGAAAATTTATCTTTGGTTAGTGATGGTCAATTAGAACTCATTTAAGTAATAGCATAACTAAATGTTCTCTTGTATGTTATTAGTAATATTTTGTAGAACTATACAAGTGACACATCTGAATCTTAAATATTTTATTCTGATCAAAACAATGTAAGCAATTTTTTGATGAATAAGACCTAAATGTTTTGGACCATACCTACAATCCATATATATATAGTCTGTGGGCAAAATGCAGAGTTATTGTTTATATTACAGCAGGCAATGCATATAGTTATCACAGGCTTTAAAGATTTAAAAAAACATACTCATTCACTTACTAATAGTCTGAGCAAGTACACCTAACTAGCCAAGTCCATGGAGCAGAATCCTTTCAAAGAAGTCAATAGTTGCTAAGATAGTCGATGAATTCACCTGAAGTTTCCAAATCACATTCACAAGAGCCTGCCACCAGTCAATATTCCAAGCCACATGAATCCAATCCATATTCTCCCACCCCATATCCTTAGGAATCATTTTAAAATTATCCTCCCATCTATATCTTGGTTTTCTGAGTGGTCTCTTCCCTTCTGGCTTTCCAACTGAAGTTCATACACTCAAATGCCTACCTGAACGCTGCTTGTGCCTGCAGCAATAACTTTCAAAAGAATTGCTTTATACAGAAAACAGCTACAACTACAATAAATGCTGCACGATTTACGTTACCCTGGCCGATAACATCTGAAAGGCTTGTTCATAACTGTAATATGTATTTCTTACTACCCATGACATACCAGGCTCATTTAGTGTTCATATTAAGCTGACACTGTATTTCTGGAGTGTGTCCTGTAACTCCCAAAAACGTTCCTAAGTGTGACATCAGTAGTTACCTGCTGTTCAAGAGCTACAACATCTGTCTTCCGCTGACGGAGTCTCAGCAGCTCCTTCTCTGCGCTGCTCACTTCGCAGAGCGCCACATTTAACTGACGCTTGAGATCCTCCATCTCAGATGACTGGTTATCAGTGTCATATAGCGAACTCTTCACAGAATCCACCTTGAAGTAAAAACATAGTTTTATACCAATATGAACACAGGAACAATATCATACTTTCATAAAATTATTAGAAAGTTCAGTCACAAACAATGCATCTAGTTTGTGTTTAGTGCAGTAGAACAACGCATCACCATTAAATTTCTCTGTAATAAGGCGTGAAAGGACCTGAAATCATAGACTTCAAATACAGAGTAATCTTGCATGTAAGGTCTTTGGTGTTATCAGTCAACAAAGGCCACATGCATAAAAACCAAACCAGAAATTGCAGTCATAAAATTTCACATTAATGTTTGTAGTATTGACACCTGGGGCAGAGCATCCATGTTGACTATGGTCCCTAACCTACAATTTTGTACTTTGGAATAAGCAAGTTTGTTTTAATTTTTACAGCAATGACACAGTTCAATTAAATCAAGCTGTTTGTATACCAATTACAAGGCAAAAAAATACAAATACTGCCAAGCTTCATTAGTGGAGAAATCTCATGTAAATTTGCCACTTAAAAGTCTGAAAATATGTGAGGATATTAATTAGTCATTCAGTCACATGAAATGAAATCCGTGGCGTAACAGCCCTCTGAGAGCCAAAGCCGACTAGCTTGACTGCTGGCCTCTCATTCACATGCCTAAGCAGAGGTGAATGATCATCCAACCAGATATAGAGTGACGTGTGGTCAGTATAAGGAACCCCCAGCCATTGTTAGTTTTCATGACCGGATTACGCTACTCATTGTAGCTCCCCAATTTCCTCACGATGCTGGGTTGGCACCGATCCCATACACTGGTCGAAAGCTCATGAGAAAATTTCTTTTCCCTCAAGACTCAAACCAGTGCGCATTCCATACCACCAGTAAGTAGCATGATCCCTCAGACCGCACAGCTACGGTGCGGGACCACTAAGCCACATATTAACAATTTTTTTAAATAATCAGGTATTTATTCAAATAATTTAACTCACAAAAGAAGCATCCATTACTATACTAGGAACATAAAATATGCTGCAATATATCTTACTCCAACACTTTCTTCAGCATCAGACTCGGGAAGTTCGCCACAACAGGCTAACAACAGATCGTCAGCCCGAATCGAGTCCAGAGTTGATCGCCTTGATGATGGCGGTGATGATCGTGACCTCCTGTATACACGTGACCTATAATTGGATATTGACCAGTATGTGAGGTTCATAATTCAACCCTTTGTTTACATCCATTGAACTCAAGGAAATCAAACATCAAGCTCCACTTGTGGGCAGGCATTATTTCCAGTAATTTTAATAGCTTTTAGATATATCTGGACTGTGGTTAATTAAAATTTTCTTTCCATGCCACATCAGTTACCTGGCTTTTTCTTTAACTCTGGATATGGGTGTCCTGTTGAGGGGTGGTGAAGGCGGGAGAGGAGCAAGAGGCTCTCCCCAGTCTTCACTTTCCCTGCGTCCTCCCTCCGACGCAGTGCGATACTCTTCGTCAGACGAGAAGAGTATTGACCGAGGAGTAAGAGGTGTACTAGGGACAACTGAAGGTTCTTGTTCCAACCTACAAGCAACAAAATGTAATAAAAAATATACTTTATACATAATTCCTCACATTAACATTTGAAATTATTAATACATAAATTAAATTATGTTGTGGAGAGTTAGTTCAGATTAAACATGAATGTATTTGACTCAATGGGTATTATCAACACCAACTAATTTCTATGTACAGTTAACGTGATTCTGAACCATACCCAGAATGTTTTTCAGTTGGTATGCAACAGTGCGCTGTACTGACATTATTTATTCATGAAACACAAAAACATAAATAGGATATAATAAATCGAGAGTACAGTGGACTTCAAATTAAGAAAATGTTACTAATGAGATGCTGACTATTACACTTAACATCTGACACTGTTTTTTCAAGTTCTCTAAAGTTTAATATTTTTGTTAATTTAACTCCCCTCAGTGCCATCTGCCTCAAAACAGAACTGACAGTCACACCAAGCACATCGCCACTTGTACATTTTATTTGTGAGAGCAGACAATTTTTTCCACCGATAGATATACTATGACCACTAAAAGCTTGTGATCACACGCTTTGGCATTTAGAGTCAAAATAAACAGTTAACAACAGTGCTACATTAATCTACATGAGCTGGCGCTTGCAATGTCACATGCAAGTGGGGTCACAGTTCTTTGAATAATGGCACTACCACAGTTTTCTTTCTAGAAAAATAGCACCAACTATATTTCACTTGATGATAAATGTACAGAATTTGCAGTCAAGTCAAAAAGATAACAACAATATTTCAATGAAATATATATCAGATAAGAGGAAAAAGGGTTACTATAAGCAAGTACTCCTCATATATGTAAAATAAATCTTTACATTAAATTGGTGAATAAATAATTAATTTAACAGATATGTAACATGTTTTTTATAACTATTCACACAGATTATTTGTAAGCATGACATATTTGCCAATGCACAGAAAATAAATAAAAACAACAAATTAAAAACAAAGGGCTAAACCCACATACTTCTTTTCATTATAATACATATAAAAAATTACAAATTATTCCATAAACTGTGAAGGAAGTTCTTGTGGAGTCTCAAGACTTACTGTCCGACGGGTGACATAAGCTGCTGTGAACTGTCCAGTTCTTGTTCAAGCTTTTCGCCCACACTAAGAGTTTTGTCACAGCCTCCTGCAGCAGGCGGTTCTTGTAGGCCCGCTGCTCTACGCAACGCAGACATCCAGTTAGAACGGATACCAGCCGTCACAGCCGAGAGAACATACCGACGATCATCCCACGTCTACGACACAACCGGAATACACCTTTTATTCATTTAATTCACAACACAAGGTTTTTAACTTGTGAATGAATGTTTGGCATCCCATTACACACACCAAACAAATTCCACTGAACACGAATGCCAACTAAAGTGACATGAATAATCACAGTTGACCCTAAAACACTAAAAACCTCTTGTGAATGAAGAAAGAGTATAGCTGACAATACTACATTAGCAAGGACTGACTTGCAGTGACTTACATTCAATAAAAAATACATCCTTATCCTTTCTGCTGCAAGGAGGGGAACATTTTGAAGGTCAATACAGCTCATGTAAATGTTGCCAACACTACAATTACATCTTCTACATTCCAGCAGCACTTTTTGCTACCCAAACAGAAACCTCAAAAACAACTGGTATTTGGCTTTTCATGTAAACATTTTAGCAAAAAAAGAGTGTATGGTATTCAGACAAATACAGTAATAATTATAAAGGACACACTAACCAAGGTTTGAAAACCATAGTTGCGAGCAACTTGAACTTCAGATATGGAGTTAATACCATTGAGGTCGATTACTCCATCGAGAATACCCTTATCCTCAGCTGTTGGGTCACGGTAGTACATCAGTGCTGCTCCACGCAAAACAAACCAGTGTTTGTTCCATTCCTGTAATCAAGAAACTCATCATAAAGAGCAGGTTTCAGGTGCGATGTACTTCGTCATCATCAATAGCGCTACAAATCTCTTAGTCTTATTTTCTAATTTATGAAAATTTTAATCTGTCTGGAAAACTTTAAATGTCAAATTTTCTCATTAAATTTGTCTCCTATCAAACTAAGTTCAAATTTGTTTTACTTTCCATTTACTATTAATGGCTTACTTTACTGAGACCCTGTTTCATGAGCCATCCCTTCTTGATATTCAATAAATCCTCTGCCGGGAGATCAACACGCAGCTCTGAGCTCGGAGAGTAGCGATGTGTAGATATGTCCAATCCACAGCCATCAGGATCTCCACGGACCTATTATCACATCACAATTTTTGTTGTATGATATAAACGAGCAATTATAATTCTTAATATTGCAAATCTAGGAGTTTGGCAAGACTGAACATGAAAACTAGGAAACAAGAAGCATCAACAGCAATAATTTAATTTTGAAATATATTGTGATTACACAGTAAACAACAGTTGTGACCAATTCAAAGTAAAATATCATCGATCCTTACAAGTTTATCTCCACCACCATCAATTTGGTCAGAGTGAGAGATTACTGGACTGCCTGTCCTACTGAAGTCCTTCTTCCGCTCCTCCTCGCTGCATTCTCCGTCTCTCGTGGGTTGCGGCTGGTAAACAGAGTTCGCAGCCGCAGCGGTACTGCGAGACTGATTGATACGCCGACAGCGCGGTCTTGTTAGCGATTCTGCGATATCCTTCAGCTTCTCTTCACGCTGTTTGTCACATTCACTTGTATATTCATCCAGCAAAATCCTGCGTGCATCAGTGTGTTCACCTGTGTACACAATTAGATGAGAAATAATGAAAAATTCTGACGTAACATAGAACATTAATAAAAGTTTATCAAGAAAGATTTTTTACAATGTTTTGAATTTTTTTTTAAATCTACTTCAGCATATATATCCAATAACATGAAGGAGATCACTGATTAAATGCAATGTGCTGTGAATACAACTTTATGGGAAGAGTGCAGTATTTTACATGCTAATATTAATAATATTTATTGTTGCAAGGAGTTGACCCCATTCCTGGCCTCACATTACTTTCAAGTAATGAGTTTAAAACCGAAGTAACTTCGACTGACAGAAGTACCAAAACCATTACTACATGACAAAAAACTGTCTAATGATAGCAGCACATCCAATATATTACAAACTTTAAATTAAACTTTTATCGCAGACAAAGCATAAACACAAAGAATCAAAAGTAATATTGGTGTTACTTCTACGTTCAAAGCGACCAGTAGCAAAATGCAGAGAAGTTCCGAAGGTTGTACATTTACAATAAATTTTATTGATAACCTCGTAACTATGTTAAAAATTGAGATTTTTTTTGGCTTTTTACGCACAATGCAGAAACGAAGGCCATAACATAACAAATTAAGACAAAAGAGGCAAGGCACAGATGAACATTTTGATTCTGTAGGGTTCTGACAATGGTGTGATATAGTCGGGTTTGTTGGGTTTTTGGACTTTGCCCATTGTCCAAGGCTAAAATGTATGTATGTATGTATATATTTTAACCTTGGATGGCAAAAAACTGAACAAACCCAACAGATGAACATTTAGAAAGCAGAACAGAAAATGACAGAACTTTACACAAACCTATAGAACGTAAATCCCATTTACTTGAATCCAACACAAAGTTAACAGCAATGTTTGCCACTGTGCAAAATGCCCTAATACTTCAGCGTGATTTCTCATCTGTTTTTTTCCTTCAAATCCACATCATCCGCACAGACAAACATTATTTGGAAAAAAAAGACGCAGTGGAGATATTCCAAATATAATGAAACTGACAACTAATATGCCATTTATTTTTAAACATTCTAACTTTTACAACATATTTTGTAAATTAATTTTTAGTTGTTTTGGTTAATCATTTTTCTTCTTCTTGGGCACGACTGGTATTGTCAGTTCACCGAAGGTGACTTTTTTTGCAGTTTCTTATTCAACTTACACCAGAATAATATTTTACCCTGGTCACCTTTAAAAGGAAACCACCATAAACAAAATAAATTAATATCTCGTTACAAATTCAGGCCGTACGTACCGCACTGAGAAGTTTTACTCTTTTATCTTTGTTCAGGTTTTCTCAGCACGTAATTCTTATTACAGGTACGTACTTGGACTCTCCGTCTTGCTACGATCCCTCCACGTCGGTAGCATTCCCGAGAAATCCTCAGAGAAACTCCGTCCAGTTTTCACCCCGCGTTTCTCCCGGTTTGCAACTCTACGTGTCCTAATCTTCTCCTCACTCTGAATCTTATCCCTTGTAGGCGGTGATGCAGAGGAAGCTGGTTGGTCATGATAAACTAAATGAAAGAAAAATTGGGAAATATGAAAACAAAACAAACAAAAATTTCAAAAATATAAATATTAAGCATATGATAGCGCTAACAAAGAAAGGAAAAATTAACTAAATTCAGGGAATGCTTGCTAGTACGCAGTTTCAAAAATTTTTGTTTTCCACCTATCCAAAAAATGTAAAATTTAAAATATGCAAAATTATAGACGTATCTGTTCTTTGTATGGGCGGATAAAATGGTCAGCGTATGCAGTATGCATGGTGAAATGAGAAATGCATACAAAATTTAGGTTAGAAAGCCTGAAGGGGACAGAAAACCCAGAAGACCTACGCATAGAACGGAGGATAACATTAAAATGGATCTTTGGAAAACAAGGTTGAAAGGTGTTGACTGGATTTATATGAGTCAATTCTAAAGGGTTTTGACGACGGTAGTTTTACATTTAAAATTATTCTGTCCTGTCATTTAAAATCAATGATTTTAAAGAACAGACGATGGAAAAAGTCCTGACGAAGAGTAATTTTAAATGGATTTATATTGCTTAAAAGAAGGCTGATGCAAACAAAGTAATTAACAATTTGATTCCATAAACAAGGAATTTCTGAACTATGCGTACTATTAACTTCTCAAAGACTCTGATGAATATAATTAGTTCTTTCGTTAGTTAGCATATGACAGACTTTAAATATAATAAAGAGTGTTTCTCTGGAACATTATTTACCTGGACACACGTCTGTCTTAAAAGAACTAGGTTTTGAATCTGAATAAAATGTTTCCGTTCCAACTTAAAAAACACACGTGTCTCCATTACAAAGATCAACTGCTCAATAATTTTCAAGAAAATAACCAAGATTTATTCTGATGATCATTTTAACCACACATACACTTCGTGGGTAAAGTGTAAATTTGTTGAATGTTACAACAGGTGGTGGATATAGTTACCACTAATCTGTAACAGGTTAATAATATGCCAACCTTTCCTCAAGTCAACAGGTACTGTAACTGGTAGTTCAGGTGTTGGTTGGGTTTCAGTTGGCGTGGTTACATCTCGTGTCGGGAAAGCTTCTGTCTCCACTGGTAACCACGACGGTGCTGGACTATGCCTCAGAGAGCTCGGTTCAGTATGACAGCTGTTGAATCTTGGCCTCGGTTCACTTGGTGTTGCAGCTGAACAAAAGAGACGCAGAACATTAAAAATGTCTTGCACCGATTCAACAAATTTTTTTCAACAGCATTCGTGTTTAAAAAGTGACCAATAAAACAATTTAGATAAGAGATTAATCACTCTACGGAGAACAAGGAATATAGACCAAAAAATAAACCTAGAGAAGACAGTAACTACTCCCATCCACGTACGAGTCTGGCTCGGCGAGCTTGACTCGTGAGCCGGGCTCGGATATATTTCACCGCGCATGCGCCGCAGACTCGGCTCGTGACCCCCACCCACAAACGAGTTTGGTTAAATGGAAACCGAGCCGAGACGGACTCGCGAGCCAGACTCGAACGTGGATGGGCAGCTTAAACCTCTTTTTGAATTCCACAGAACACCTATAATTTACATGCAATGCCTAGGAAAAGCTAAAATGATACAATAAAAATCTGTTTATTTCATACTTTTGTCAAAAATTGACAAGGACTGTATAAAATACCCTGGAATTTAATACAGTGCCTTATGCCTGTAACATACAAAATACACACCTGTATATTAAATACAACAAAAATACCGCTAGTTTTCAAAAAGCACAAATACAGATTATTTTAGTGCTGAAAACATATCTTCTGATTACTATCGAAACCAAATAAAAACCAATCATTCAAATCTGGTATTTGATACGATTCAACACATATATATACATCAGAAGAAACGCGTGTATTAAATATTCCAAAGGTTTCTTTACCTCTGACTGAAGGAGGCTGCTGGAGGATACTGGTCGTCTGACCTCCAGGGAAGGTAGCATTCCGTTTATGCCGACCCTGAAAAATACAGTACCAAACTATTACCAGAAGAAAACTGCATTATCTTGAGGCACTTCACATCCTAGCATGACAGAACTTACGAAGGAACACGTAAATGCATACAAGACAACATTAATATCAAGTTACGAAATTATTATTCTGCTCCGTCACTAATTGTTTTATATTAAGCAAAACCTCACATTCCAACCACCACTACAGAAATGAGACTCTCATAATCAGGAGATAAAAACAAGAGTGTCCTGCATTCCAGATTTGAGACAAGAACTGAAGTACGTGCACTTCAAAGATTACAATGCATTTGATAATTCTATCTGTTAGAAGAGAGAGGCTTAAGTCTGGCGCAGGGGAAAAATTTACACAAGTATTGAATAGTCAAAGCACGTAACAAATGTCATTCTTATATCTGAAGATGCCTGTCTTCTGGGTTGCTGCACCATGGAGTCTGGTAGGAGTTTACTGATGTTTCAGTAGTAATTGCTGCCTTTATTAATAGCGTGATGGGTACTCAAGACAGAAAGCACCTCTAAAACGTCAGTAAATTTCTACCAGAATACGGCGCAACAACCCAGAAGAAACACACGCACACCACCGTAAGAACATGAACTAACACTCTCATATCTGTTTTCCAAAACTAACAAAAACAATTTCTTATTTACAAATATAAGAAGATTTACAAAATTACTCTGCCACATATACACCACAAGCACCAAGCCACAACCAACAGCGAACTGACTAGAACACAGGCAGTTACGAAAGGGTACATCAAACAGTGTCTTCAACATTGCCACCCACAAACTCTCATGTTATAAAGCACTTAACACTTGTTCTGATCATTCACTTAAAACACCAACTTCGTGATGACATATGTAACCTACATGTCAGCACAGTCAGCATGGAGGGTACGATGGTTCAGAGACTCTGCTAAATAATTGTACAGAGTGCCATAATAAAATGATTTTAACAACTCAATTGTCAAATGCCAACATACGGGTGTGTTTATACATTCATCTAATCATTCTTCCTAGTAGGCCTCCTCCTTAAATGTATTTTAAGGCAAGGTAGGCCTGATATTGAAATCTCTTGTCCTTGTTACCAAAGCCAAAGAAGCAAGAATTTTCAAAAATCTACTGACAACTGTCGTAAAAATCTGTGATGAGAACTGAACAAGTCTCGCTAATGGGGTGGACGTAAACAGCGAATGGGTTCTTGTCTGACGTTGGTACACATGTACATCATTACAGCTTGCCACTCATCATCACTAAACGGAAATATCCCTGTCCTGGAAGAAATTTCATTTTTAAGCCACATGTCTCAAAGCACTGTAATGTGATCTCAGTTGAACCTCAACCTGTGACATTCGTTAAAGGCTCAAACTGTGGGAAGTCTTCCCCAATTGTGTATTCGTAAACAACCCTATCGCCTATATTAAACGGTTCCACTGAAAGAGTGCCAGTTTTCAATCGGATAATTCGACAAACAGCAAATCCATCATAACCGCAAGTTTATTTAAAAGCATTGTGTTGCTGGTTGATGTATTTCATTCTACCTCCGTTAAAACCTCTACGGTAAAAGTAGCACACAACAATACCTCTGTGACCTTGAACCGAAGTTCCCCTTCAGAAAACAATCCAGCGGGGAATGTTCTAACTCTATTTATCACTGGTTCCCTCGTCGATTCCCCCGATGGACACTGAATGTAAATTAAATTCCATATTCATAAAAGAATATACATACAAAACTTATTTCTTACCAATACAATAGGAAATAAATGTACACTTTAACCAACAAACCCTTGCGTCAAACCTCACCATACGACCCAACAATAAAAAAATAAAGTTCTCTTGGCCTCAGTACTTTTCCCTACTCACTAGTAGTGAAGCCAACTGTTACACCAGTACAGAAAACCAGAGACATACAGCGCCGCCCTCCTAGTTCGGCCAGCCCTCACCCAGTCTCGATGTCGCTCCCATTACTTCTCAGCACTTAAGAGCCGACGGGTCGGTTCAACCTCTAGCAGAGACTCGAGGTAACTGTTGACTGTGTGTATGGCTATGCAGCGCGATCATTTACGGACAAACACTGACCATCACAAAATATTATGGTCTCACTGATAGGTTTTATGGTGTTTATGTGCTGCCTAATTTCTCTCTTTCTTCGTCGTATGTATTTGTAACTTGACACTTTCTATGGCAATTACGATTTATGGAAGTCAGTAGCCACACTTTCGTGGTTCCTATAATTTTCAGCTGATCTTTTCCTGTATTTTCCACCTCTGGATGTGCGTTTATCTTGGAGAATCCCTCGTTTTCTAAACTAATAAAATAGTTTTCATAAACGATCTCTTCTAGGGCAGGGGGTTGAACTACAAACCCCTCAGGTTACACCACCGACCCCTACGGTTGATACAATATCGTTACACAGTGAAAAAATCAATATGATTTACTCATAACAGTCCCAACAATTAATTTTAACTTTATTAACATGCCTGATTACCAATTTTGTAACAATTCCTTCACATTATCAGAATGTAATAATTCTCTAAAGAAACAGACGTTGTCCTGTAACCAAACCAACATTCTCTTCTGATTCACCCTATACCTACTAACTCTACTTGCTATTGGACACAAGTCATTCTGCCTTCAGTGTAGATTGTCTCGCAGGAAACTGTCAATTTGGCAAAGTTACAACTGCTCTTAAAATTGCTTGCAAACCAATTCTTGTCATTATACAGCTGTCTCCCACACATGAATTACGACGACTTACGCAACAACCAGCATGTAATGCTGTTCGTCGCCATGTTGCTTTATAGAAGCAACTGGACCGGGCTACGTATTAAACCCCTGGAAACCTTAATTAAAACACAAGAAGAAAAAATACCAGAAACATAGCTTTCAAGCTGTTGTTTCTAGAATTTACAAGGAAAAGCTCTTTACGTGACTTTGGCCAAATAATAAGTTACATTATACACGACACTGTTATATTTCCACATTAATATATTTAAACGACCAGGGTATACAGAACAATAATTTTGCCTGTTGTCTTGTATGGTTGCGAAACATGGTCTCTTACCATAACCGAAGGACGTAGATTACAAGTGTTTTGAAAAAAAGGTGCTCAGGAAGATATTTGGATCTAGGAAGAATTAAATAAGTGGGAAATTTAGATATTGTACAGGTCGCCTAGCACAGTGAGGATAATGAAATATAGGAGTCTACGATGGGCTTGACATGCAGCATGCATAGACATTTTCGTGGGAAATCCTTCTGGAAAACGACCACTGGGCAGACCAAGGAGGAGATGGTAGGATATTATCAAGACAGATCTTAGGGAGGTGGGCTGTGAGGATGGTAAATGGATGGAGGTGGCTAAGGATCGTGGCCAGTGGCGGGCTTTGGTGTTGTCGGTGTTGGACCTGCGTGTTCTGCTACCAGGGAGTTAGTTAGTTAATACATTTAAACACAATTTATTTAAACTGCAAGCACAAATTTTAATTATTTTCAGTTGCAAGGCAGTTTCATGGTTGCTTTTAAAGAGAATGTCAGATGGAAAGACAAAGAATATTTGTCACTGACAGCAAACATTTGTACCATCAGTAATTAAAAATCTCTTCGCATCCGGAATGTCGCGTATTCGATTCTCGAACCTGATACCGTCCTATCCTAACATCAGACATGGATTTTCTCAGTCCCTCGATTAAATTCTGAGCAGTTACTTTACAACAGACCATGACCGTTTCTTTCCACACCGATTTCAATTCATGCTCCGTTCCCATTCGACGTTATGTAACATATAAAGTCCTGATAATGGCATTTCATGAGTGAAGAAGCAGGAGGATGTCATTACAAAGTCTGTATGAAAATGTTACGTAATATATTTTAAAATGATGTGATACAAACACGTTCAACAGCTGAGTAGCCTACAATAAAAGCACTCGGAAAGTGGGATTTCTTTTCTTAGAACTTCTCCGAAGTTCCCCCAAGTTGCCTTTAATTCTGGCATCTCAGCAAGGGTTCTTTTGAATTGACTGTTTTTACCTGCTTGGAATGAAGAGGGGATCATCCCATTCCGGTGTTCCTAAATTAAGATAAAGACAGCAATGACCTCTTTCATCTGGTGGATAGGAAAAACATCTGCGTCATAAACGAGATTCGAACCCATGATATAAAACGCGATCAAAATTATCATGGTCTTATTGCGTCACGTCTACTAACCATGTAATGATACAGTACACAATTTTAAAATGTTGTATGTAATCAGTATGTAATAGTAGTTTAGTCATTAATACCTGTAGACTTAATTGATATCCTTTGACATTTCAACATACCAAGGTGAAGAATACTCCACCTATCATTATGATAAATGCATGGTTATTAAAGTACACTTGTCGACAACACGTGTATTGGCTTTTTAGTTATCACCGCCCGACAGAAACGTACTCAGCTCAGAAGCGGGATATTTTGCTTGCAACTTACGTCCCAAGCCTTTTGGGAGGTGAAGTGATTCAAAACAAAATTATTATTAATATTATTATTAAACTCCTTGCTTTGGCCTTCTGGGCTGTTAACGCTGCGTAGACTGAAGCCCCGAAAATGGAGGCAGTATGTTCTGAGAAAGTTTCGTATCTACCTACAAGTTAACCAACATCGACATTTTCATCGCCGTGAGACCCTCAAATCTCACTTGTTCCCTTTTCAAATTAAGTATCTTCATAGAACAGTAAAAATTCTAGTTAGCTAATTTCAAAATTTGTGGTCTTCACGAAATATTATTGCGGTAATAAAATAGAGGACAAAATCGGCAGGGCATGTAGCACAAATGGAAAAGATGGGAAATGTTTACAAACATTCAGACGGAAAACCTGAAGAGAAAATATTACATCGAACACCTAAGCGTAGATGAGACGCTAATATTAAAACGGATTTCAAATAAATACGGTGTGACGATGTGGACGAGATTCATTTGATTCAGAACAACCATCAGTGAACAATGTAACGAATTCCATAAATCTCGAAATTTCTTCAACAGCTAAACGAATATCATGTTTCTCAAAATGGAATCTGCTCCATGGAGTTACTTAATTATAGGGTCCATGTTTAACGACTTCGGGTTTATATTTCAGTATTTTCTACCGTTAAAATTTAACATTGGTAAAATGTGAAATATAAAACTAAAAAATATGTACAGCTTCGAAATGATAGGATTCACGTTGTGGCTAATCGAACCCATGCAGTTTAGATAAACAAGTTCAACAGAGGTGTCACCTACTGGACCACATCATTCAACAGTTACAGGCTTCAAGATGGCGGTGCTGTACGCTGCGTCCTAGAAGCAACTTCTGGGAACCTCGTAAAACAAACAAGTATCTCTCATCGCACTTCAATCACACAAGCTGTTGCTCATTCTCGACAATTTACCACCTCGTAGAATCACCGTTACCACTAAGGTTCATGGTCTTTCTCATGCAAGAACTTCTGAAGGCTTTCATAAGACAGCTGAATATATTTGCATCACCGATTGTGTCGTACACAGTATGATTATATAACAGAAAAACAATGAGCAAGGACAAGTCGAGATAAAGTGAAAATAATTAATACGACAAAACATCTGAAGAAGACGACGATGATGGAACATTACAGCAAAGGCGGTAACAGAGGTACGGTCACGCAGAAACAAATTATCCGACAGACAATTCCGTAAAATAGGCGATGACTAATCATGATGTCAACGAAAGGAACAAACCCTCTACCTGCCCATAATTATGTAAACACTTCTCAAGACCATCAACAGCTTGAAGCGAACGACAGATGGAGGGTCATGCATGGAGTTCAACCATCCAACTGGCGACATTCAAGTTTCACGACCGTCACAACAAAGGCGTATTTCCATCCCTTATGAAACCAAAACTTGAAAGGTTCGCAGCGCCATCATGCTGATTCATTTCGACATTCAGAAGCTGCATACGTCATTTTCCTCGCTTCATACCTAACTTCATGAGTAATGGCCAATCAGTTATCGTCTAGTTCTTAGAAGCCACGTTGCTTTTCATATTTTAGATAGCAGTACTGAATATAAAAAAATATAATAAGCCATAAGCCCATATCGAATGTTGACAATCCCCCCCCCCCCCCCAATAGTTACGACATCATATTGGAATTGTTCAAAGCAGCGGAGTGACCTATGACATGATCTACATACCATTTCATGAAAATCTGCCAATTATATCGTAGGTTACTGAAGGCACAGAGAAAGAGAGAGAGAGAGAGGGAGGGAGGGGGTGGGAGGGAGAGGAACGGAACCCGTCCTACCGTTTATATATTTCGGAAACAAGTGTAAAATGGTTCTATCCTGTAAAAAGAAGTGAACGAACTATGCATTTCTCATACAAAAATTTAAATTCACAAAATTAATTTCTCACGCTTGACATTAATTTGAAGCTTAACGCCCATCTCTTGGATGTTCCCAGACGTGATATATGTGATCTGAATAAGAAATATAATGTAATTTTACAAGCATATGTCGGATTTCTTTTTAAATTAGCACGGAATACGGGACATTATAACAAGTTGTAAAGTTAATTCAGTCTTACACAGGCAATAAAGCCAAACAAGATTTACAATGTGATCTGCTGATCCCACGAGCTACGTACTACAAATGGTAAATGCTGAGGTTTGACAAAGCAAATATGATCTTGTTATTTTTATTCCAATGATGCAGATAAATATTGTCTACACCTTCCTTACACAAATAACTTTCCACCACACAAACTGCTGGAACGAGTTACATCAATTAATCGGTTGGACCAAATTAGGATGTAGCAAACTAAATTTCATTGGATCAGGGTAAGGTCCAGTGGTAGGATTTTGTGAAGAAGTGTTCTCTATCAACACCGAATTACTTGATTACATGAATAAATAAGGAAGGATGTTCACAAATCATTCCGTTCAAGATTCTGTCTATGAGACTCATTTGAGTTTTTCACAGCGGTGAATATGAAGATTTCTGTCTTCTGGGTTGTCGCGCTGTGTAGTCTGGTCGAGGTTAACCAACGTTTCAGAGGCCATACTGCCTCCGTCATCAGAGTATGAAGATTTCTGTCTTCTGGGTTGTCGCGCTGTGTAGTCTGGTCGAGGTTAACCAACGTTTCAGAGGCCATACTGCCTCCGTCATCAGAGTATGAAGATTTCTGTCTTCTGGGTTGTCGCGCTGTGTAGTCTGGTCGAGGTTAACCAACGTTTCAGAGGCCATACTGCCTCCGTCATCAGAGTATGAAGATTTCTGTCTTCTGGGTTGTCGCGCTGTGTAGTCTGGTCGAGGTTAACCAACGTTTCAGAGGCCATACTGCCTCCGTCATCAGAGTATGAAGATTTCTGTCTTCTGGGTTGTCGCGCTGTGTAGTCTGGTCGAGGTTAACCAACGTTTCAGAGGCCATACTGCCTCCGTCATCAGAGTATGAAGATTTCTGTCTTCTGGGTTGTCGCGCTGTGTAGTCTGGTCGATGTTTACCAACGTTTCTACTCATACTGCGATGATGCCCTGATGACGGAGGCAGTATGACCTCTGACACGTTGGTTAACATCGATCAGACTACACAGCGCAATAACCCAGAAGACAGAAATCTTCATAAATGTAAGCTACACTGTAGCTCATAAGGCAAGAATGGACCTACTAGGGGCTGGGACTCACCTTACTTCTAGGGAAGACAGCAAGAACGTCGCCCCACCAACGACATTCTTCACGGCAAGTTCCCTTCACGAAGTGGACTCGGTCTGGCGCGGTTATGGCCAAACTGAAAGCGTGACCTGTGACCTCCTCGCCGTCCGTCACCTCCAACACCTTGTTCATGTCGATGCTGGCCTGAGGCACAGTGTCCGGCTGTAACACGCAAATGAGTCTATTAAAGTTTCGGACAATGGGACCCTCATTACACTAGTATATTAACTATGTAACAGGCTACATTCTGCGCCGTCTCAGACAGATTTTGATTAAACACTGCCGATACTTGGTCATCCTCTAGCTCAGGGTCAGACGGTGGTATGCTGCGAGTGTGGTTCAGCTGTAATCTTTCTGTCCCGGGTAAACCACACTCACGTGGCACGATGTGATAACTGAACGTGCGCGAGGAATATACCACCGTCTTCGCGGTCAAATGTCAAAGGCTTTTTTACTCATGTCGAAACTTCTTAAGGCTTATCAGGTTATGTGATGCAGATGATGAGATTTGCATCAAACAATTCTGGAGCCAGTTCAACATCAAACTGGCGATTGCTAAAAATGTTCCGTTTTACGCGACAATTCGAAGAAACGCAAAACCCCGTATATAACGAGAATTACTTGTATCTAAGGTGGCCACCATTATGAAAACAACCCGTTGCATCACTTCTCTGTCAAAAGAAAAAAACATAGTGGTATGAACAAACACCCATAAACAACGTAACAGATCAGGAATACTGCATAAACAGTAAGAAACATTGAAACAAGAAGGCAAATTTATTTTAAGACAGTTTCTTTTCACCTTCTGTAGAACACGTATGGCGATAGCTGTTTAAATCGTTCGATTAGTGGTCGATTAGTTATCCGCTACCATCGACCACGTGACAGTCTAAATAACCACATTTACCCCACTGTACAGCATCTACCTTGGTACCACACAATCTTACGCTCGTTTCCTGACATTAAAAAGTCTTTCGCCCTTTAACGGGGAACACCGAGACCACCCAACAAGAATAAATCCCCACTAATTGCCGGTAACAATTTCAAGTTCAACGCCCGCCTCGTTAGGCAACCCAACCTCCATATCTAGAAGACAGTTTCTGCGACCCGGCCGAGAGCAATGTAAGGCTCACAGTTAATATATAACGCTGATACTACGCGCACAATGTAACTGAATTGTAATTACATCCAGGTATCAGTTCGTACACTCTATGCAACAAAGATCGAGTGCTTAGGACAGGGGTGGGGAACCTTTTCATGTTGGAAGTCAGCATTAATTTAGCTGTAATCAAATAAGGCCGCATTCAAGAAACTTCAATTAGATACACTTAAAAATGTACATTATTTTGTAAAAATCTAACTTACTATGTACTTAATAATTTCAAAAAATAAAAACTATTTGTTAATTTTAAAGTTAACTAATCTTTTAATGACTTTGTTGTGTCTGATTTTTGTTGGAAGGCATTTTAATATTTGGTTGCAGCATGTATTAATAAAAATAAAAGGATTTGTTCTGTAAAATTTGGATTCAGTCAAAAGGCCGCACTCAAGGACCTAGAAGGCCACATGTGGCCTTAAGGCCGTAGGTTCCCCACCCCTGGCTTAGGGTTTTTAAATCCGAAACCACATATCGATATCTCAGAAACGTACAACGATTTACACCATAGTTAAGGGCCGCCGGACATAGTAAAAAGGTTTCCTTTAGCTTTCGTCTCGCATTACAGATAAAATTCTTAAATCCTCTAACGATAATAACTAATTTAGGAATTTGTTACAAAACTTGTAGATACTTTGGTTAAAAAGTCTTACCGTCAAAGTTTCAAATTCACATTCTACATATTCTAACCACGAATTTCATTAATACTGTCTGCACGGAAGCGTCTAACACGACAACGTAATACCAGGAAATTGAACAGGTATAAAACTTTCGCCAGGATTCGTTGCGCTGAGGAAACACCTGTACCATCCGGTTTGTTATGGCCAAAGCTCTGACATGCAAACCTTGAAGACACGTGTCATCTCGCAGTACTTGCAGACAACAAAAATAAAGCTCGAGTCTTCCCCCGTCGATATTTACAGTTCAACATTATGTTTCTTCCTATTCCTCTCAGAAAAAAAGTGCTTGAAATTGGAAACCCTCCCAAGGGAGAAGTCTTCCTTTCTTGAGAGGTATAGGGCGGCTTCCGGCACGAAGCCAGTCTTCGTCAGTGGCGTGTTTTATCCCATCTGGCCAGTGGTAAAGAATAAAGTTTCGATCGCCATTTAGCACACATAAGACGACGCTGGTCGTGAGAAAGCTGTTCAAATGTTACTGCAGAGAATCAAACCACGGTGTCTTTGCCGACAGCAAACATGACAAGTGGGTTATTTACTTTCTGCACTTTATAAGTAGGTCATGTAAATACATAGCCTGTTTCAAAGGGTTAAGCAACATTTTATTTAATATTTGTATTTCCTTATGCCTATTATTTATTCAGGTATCATACATCTTATGATTTTGAAGGTTAAGTGTGTATTTCGATTGCATTCACTTCAAATATATACTTTATACATTTTTTAAATTTTATTGCACATTAAAATATTGTAGGAATAAGAGTAGCCTGAAATTCAAGAGTCTCACATCATTGTGTTAGAATACAATGTGGAAAATTTAACATTTGTGGAATTTAAAAACATGTTAAGAAGCAAAAGATCAGTAGATACGCAATTTTACGCTAAACGCACGAAGACTTTCCCCCCTCACTTTCTAGCCACCCACAAAAAAATAAAAAAACAGTACAATGAAATTTACAATTCGCTCTTTAAAATACGTAAGATCTACTGGACGACTTTTTGTTCACTCTACGTGCAAATTAATTCACAATGCCATCGTATCTCAACTATTAAATTATTCAATTGATAAAACAGCCAATTCTTCTGCTTGCCTACCACTGGTATCATAATTTAATCAATCCTAAACCAATTTATGGGTCACTTTTACGTACGATTAACACCGCCACTACTGAGTCGGCCTAGCAGCAGTTGTAGTAATATTAATATTAAATTACACAGAGAATATACAAGAATAAGAACGAACTTCTCGAAACAGTTGAATCTGCAAACTCAGGCACAATCGAACAAGCTTTGAAAGTGTATTCCTTACAGGCATGCATATCTTTCCTCGTGCGTTCTTTGGAAAGTGGCTTGTTCGATAGTTTCCATTTTGGCCACCAGATCGCAGCACCTCAATGTCTCCCTCACGACTTTCCTCATCAGTAAATTTGTTATCACCGCTTGTAGAACATTCGGAAGTTTGATTTTGAGTGCGTGAAGAACAGCACAACCTCTACATCGAATTTTATTAAAATCCGTCCAATGGTTCTCGAGTTTAATTGATTGTATGGTCAGACTCGACCAGACCTTAATGAGTTCTCGCTATGAACTTCGTGCAAAGAACTCATAATAAATCCAGATGTCGCGATTCGTTAAGTCTGCTACACACAACCTTGTGTTTCAGCACACTCGCAATGCTTTTAATTGCTCGACACAAATATATTTCATGCAGAATAATGCAGGTATGTTTATTAATTATCGCTTTTAAAATTCCACAAGCTAGTTTTGAACTCTTTTTAACTACAGTCGTCAAATTCAAATATATGTGCAGATTTCGCACTGAAGCCACGAAAGCCGGGATTGTTTTTGGAAAACTGTTATTAAAGTGGCACTATGCAATTCCGTCCAAGCGTCTCAACAGATGGGATTTCAAGTTCATGGTGACGAATGTATTCAGAATTGTTGCTTCATGTGGCCTGGTAGATAGTGACGAAATTTCAGAGGACCGTATTGCCTCAATCATCAGGGCGGTAAGCTCGCACTAAAATGTCGGTCGATATCTACCAGACTACATGCCGCAACATTTCAGAAGACAGCCATCTTCGGTTCAAAAGTTATAAAGATGAAAAAGTTCAAAAACATGATACAAGCCCTAAAAATTTAAATAATACAATCTACGTTTTAATGATGACGTAACAGAATAATAAAACAGTTCTGTATAGATTGGCCGCGCGGTCTTTAGTTAAAATAATTCGCAGAAATGACAAATTGCACTTCCTTGCTAACACTTGAGTATATGGAGAAATCAAACCGGTTTTATACAACCCTGTAAAATTTGCGTTGTCACATAAGAGGCTCAAGTTATTATACGCCAAAGAACTTGCCCCCTTCGCAAATAACCAACGGTCATAAAAGTTGTTTTGCCAATGATCATATCTCACATTCACGCAGTCCCTGTTCCTGCGGTAAATCTATGTTTGCTATGTGCGGTACGACATATTAGTTAACTTAACTAGACATCGGAGTAAGCCAAGGATAACTTTAAGTGCGTTTCAGAAACTATATGATAGTGTCTGTTGCCTGACAAGACTCATTTTGATAAAGTCTACTGGATATGTTTTTCATGATCTTCACGTATTAATACGTGATCTGTAAGGCTATCAGTCATATTAATCTCCAATTTATCGCGTATGGTAAATGCCATGTGCGTTGTTGGGCGAGAAACGAAATATTCCAGTATGGAAACAAAAATAAAATGTCACAAGTGACTAACGCATTCAAGAAGAAGTATCCTAAAGAAACAGAAAACGTAGAAGAAACAAGAAAGGTAAAACTTTCTGAAGCAAGGAGGAATTTAATCTGTGTTGATTAATCGCGCCGTGTGTTACAGAAGACGTTCCAACATTACTACAATTCACGTCTTCTTGTCTGGTAGCATTCACAAGATTCTGAACGATTAATTCTACACTACATGCAAGGAGCGTATGAACAATGCACTCTCGGCAAATCTCTTTCTGCTCTTGTCACTTACTGTACTGAAACAGAGTGCAACAATGTCAACCGAGGCTAATGTTACAACAACGTGACTGAAGTCGCGAGAGGCAGGCATATGAGGACTCAAAAGGTGCTCTTCGCTTGCATTAATGCGTAAAGAACATCTAAAAATGCTAAGTTGTCGTAGTAACTAAGCATCGTGTCATGTGGGGGTATGTGATGTGAAAGTATACCTCCACATATTCTCAACCTTGCAACGAGACAGAGGTTAGGTTAGGTAGTTTAGGTTATGTTAGGTTAGGTTAGGTTAGGTTAGTTTAGGTTAGGTTAGTTTAGGTTAGTTTAGGTTAGGTTAG